TTTTAAGTTCTTAGATATATTTTACACCTGATGATGGTTTTATAAAAACTGAAACATGTTGTGTAAATGTTCCGAAATGTAAATCGATCAATCGATATGGAACATGAATGATATTTTATTATCTTAATTATAAGAAATTTTAAAATATTGTGATAAGACGGATTAAAATAAATAATTGTTATAATATTCACAATATGACGCAATTACAATATCTTAAGACATAAAGACTAAAATAGTATAAAACTACAATTTTACACTGCACAAAACTGTAATTTCACCTATTCCAGGAAAGCTGAAGAAAAAGAATAATATTCTTGATACATCATTGAGGTCTTGCACCGTGATACCAAATTAGGTTCAACACAATTCACCGTTAGCTGTCAGACAGAGGTTAGTTCAGGATATGACAATGCGATCGACAACTGCGTTCCAGCATTCTGAGTATCATTTTTAAGCACATGGAGAACTTTATTACAGATCTACTGCACCTACCAGCTTAAACACACTGATCATATATTCTTACATATGATTTTCAACATTATGAACTTGCCTGTGAGGACTCGCGCGATGACGACGCTTGCTCTGACTAGGTCCACTCTCGTGAGGTTCATAATCATCAAAATGTGATGATGAACAATGAGATGCTCTCTTCTCTCCGCTCGACCAGCAAGGTGATGAATGACCCTTAGTCTCTGTGCCCTGCAACAGTAAAACTGCAATTTCAGTTTGTATTAAAATTATTCATTTAGTCGCAGGCACATATCTACTGCATGACAAGCGAGTATAAATAAAAAGGTGCCATGATCTGGCGCACGTATCAAGCACGAATGCACCCACATCACTGGAAAATCATTCATAAGTGCAGGCAGTGCAATGAATGCGACCCCACACTACAAGGCAACCCACAGAAATGAAGACCTTTTACTGTTCTCTCACAAGCTGCAAGGTCTCTTCCCCTAACAAAACAATGGTCATTTCAATTCATGCTTCGTTAGCCATTCTATAATTTTTCTTGTAGTGCTGATGTGGATACCTTATCTAGTTGGACAAGTGACCACTGCAAATAAATGCATCGGAATAAGAAAGGGCACGTGTAAAAAAATCTTTCTTTGGTAAATTGAAAGTAAGCGTTTATAAAATTCAAGAGAGTTAAAAATCAAGTAACACTGTACTTCAAGCCTCAAGACTGGTGTTAACAAGATATGAGGTTTTCACAGCGGTGAGTCTGAAGATTGCTGTCTTCTGGGTCATTGCACCGTGTAGTCTGGTAGATTTCCACCAACTTTTCAGAGGTCATGCTGCCTTATCATCAGGGTGCAACAACCCAGAAGACAGCAATCTTAAGACTAGTGTTATTAAACTCTGTTGCCATGTTTTCTTTGTCTGTTAATAGCCCAAATAACACAACTTTTGTCTTTAACATGTTTAAAGGAGATGGCTGTGTTTAACCTAGACACAAGTTAAGCTACGAAGTGAAAAATGCATGTTATTATTGATTCAAAAAATTTTAGTGTTCTTTTAACAGTATAAATAGGTTTGTTATATATAAATATTTTATTTTTCCTTATCACTACCATAGTGTGCTTCAATTTTCCACCATCTTCATGATGTTCACATGCAACAGTTATTGCGTAATGTAAGTGTTCTTGGTCATTTAAACTAATTTTAAAACACGCACACTGAATGCAAATTCTTTTATAAGTGACCTACTGAAATGTAATACAGAAATGTTCTGCAGAACAGAACATGTGATGATGCTACACAAAAGCAAAGACACACAGAGCAGGGTTGTCAAAACAAATATGCAAGACAGGCACATTTTTAAACAAGCGTTATGTGTACTGCCGTAATGATCTGAAATTTGTGCCTTAGGAGTGTCTAGTGACTGCCCTTGCATCAAGGCCCACTACATTCAAGACATGCCAATGACCCTCATCTTGTATCATGTTTGTCAACAAATGTGTTGCAAATAATATCCAGAAATCAATGTTGAGGAATCTATAAAAACTTGCCCAGATGTCAATCATGAGGAACACACCCAAGATATCCAGAATATGAAGAGATGTGGCACAACACTTTTACATAAAATGTCTTGTGTGCATTTCTTGCCCATATTTTCAAACCAAACCTAACCTAACAAATTAATTATACACCGAGAACAGTACATGTGGCAAGACACGGATACCTCCCACCATAATGAACTGTAAATTTCCTTAGTAGTTACAATGCACAAAAGACTGGGTGCAAAGTTCATTAATGCCCACCCCTTTCTTGTTTCACCTCAGCAGCTACAGAAAATATATGCTTGTAAATAGAACAGGCACGACAGAACTTCCTGATCATCTCGATCTCAATGTACCTTATGAATTAACGGTGGTTTTAACATTAAGCAGATTCTAGTCTAAACAAGAAATCTCAGGTAAATCCTACATTTCAACAAATTCATAAGACAGGAAGGTCAAACTCCAAGCACACCCAAGAAAAAATAAGAAGTATGGAAACGTGCCGTACGTTCACGGAGCAGAGTCGTTCTTCATAGTTACTCACCTAGTCAAGAAACACGCCATCTTTAAGGAACCTGAAGGCTTGTTTCCATATTCCTGAGTCAGATGAATCTAATACACACCCTCATAGCCCATTTCCTTAATTATCCTCCCATCTATGCCTATGTCTCCCAAGTGATCTTCTCCATTTAGGTTTCAACAACCAAATTTAGTATGCATTTCTCATCTCTCTTATGCATATATCTCATCCTTAATATGTAATTTTCTCTACCATCTTGTTATTTCTTTCCTTTTCAAAACCCTGTTGTCAAACATCCCCAATATGTAGGATTTGAGGTTTTCACAATGGTGAGTAAAAAGATGGCTGTCTTCTGGGTTGTTGCACCGTGTAGTCTGGTATAAGTTTACTGACGTTTCAGAGGTCCTTGCTGCCTCTATCATTAGGGCGTGGTGGCAGCAAGGACCTCTGAAACGTCAGTAAACTTCTACCAGACTACATGGCACAACAAACCAGGAGACGGCCATCTTCGTCCCCAATATGTTACCATACATAAACAACTTAATAATCCATATAAAAATAATTATAAATATGTTTACAGCCTACACTATGGAATAAAGTTGCAGGAACTATATTATATGACTGCATGTATCAGAAAGTATTCATATTCCAGGACAGTTTCATAAGGAAGTAAATGTTCATATTTACTTAGATCTATTTATCCACCTGCCGATAACTAGTACTTTTTGGGAATTTGTACGATGTCCATTAAGACAATTTGCAGAGAGTCTTGGCATACATACACCTACAAATGGCTTTTCATTTCTGCCGGCAGTTACACATGGCTGGACAATACGCAACAAATATACAAAGATCATAAGTTGAACATGAAATTATAACAGCAAGACCAATGGGTTTAAAAAAATTTCAAATTTACTCTTATAAGTGTTCTGTTTCTTACTGACAAACTTTTATTGTACCTTCAAGTATTACTGGACAGTTCAAAGAATTATTTCTATTTCAAAGGGATTTATTAAGACTTATTATCACTTTATAAAGTGAAACAAGAAAGGAAATACAAACACTTTCAACGCTGGATGCATAACAAACTTGCAGAAGCAATTAATTATTCATGACCATATCTTGCCTAGTGCCAGCAGTGAATCAACGAACTCTTGAAATGTGAACATTTTAGTAAGGGAAGCCACACATCCTAAAAACCTTGGTGCCCTAATGATCATATGAAGTGTCCTGACAATATGTCTCAAGATGGCCAACATTCTCCCAGATTTAAATTGCAATGAATGACAGTCTGTGTGCTGGCAACTTAAAAACTTATGTGAATGTGTGTTCAGTTTGTGAGCATTCTCACTGAAACAATTAACTATATATTAACATATGATTTCTTCCAATCCAATCACACTGAATAAAACATACCATGTCCAGACAACAAGAAATCTTGGTTTAACAAACAATGCAATAAAATCTTCTTGGGCGACAAGCCACATCAAAATGGAATTGTAGTCCAGCGTTTCTGATTCACATTCCCTGATGATGGAGACAGAGTGTCTCTGAAACGGACTACAATTCCATTTTTACGCGGCAGGTCACCGGAGAAAATTTCATTGCATTTAGTCGCCACGAAAGCCTCAAACCTTAAACATCTGTATGACCCCCACTTTCCAACATTCTTCAAGGAAACCCGAACCCCCTGTCGGTTGCGATCGACCAGTTAAGAACCATTACCCTACATCACATAAGCACTTCACACATCACAGTTAATTTACGTAAGAAACAAATTTGCTTTCTTCCAGTAAACCAAAGATACATACTGTCATTCATTACCAGTAACAATAAAAATTTTGCTTATCTCAAGTGATGTTTTGGACATAAAAGCAGGAAACATTTGCAAACTTCAATGCTGAATATGTGCATTTATAATAATGGAAGACAAGAGTAAAAGCTTTTGTTACTGGCAATTGTTGAAGCACTGACGGTAAACTGCATTCTGTCTTTAAAATCTCACTTTCCATCAAGTGCCAACTTTCCAGAAACTGTAAACTGACTTGGCTGATTTGAGCATCACCAGCATAATATTATGTGACTCTTTGAAGAAAATGGAACTGCATTTGGGAGTAAAAGTGGGGATTTCAAGAAAGCGCTAGAATCTTACAATTTGTATATGCTGCAGAAAAACAATTTCAGACTGCAGCCCATATGGTTTTCACTACATTAAATTTGAACCACGAGTGCATTATAGTGTGGTGTAATTTTTTGCCATTGCCTGACCTATTCATATCTAACGTACTGAAATCTGCCCCACCTACTACTTATAGATCTTAAGTCATCTTAGTAAGTAGGTTGTCTAGCTCGTTTATTCTGAGACCGTTACAGTATTAATCCTACGAGTTTTCTAGCAATTATTAATGGCCGTACTACGTTTCAAGAAAATGCTATTTACGAACTAAAATGTACATAGCATATGGAAGTACGAAATGAATTTAATTACGAAATGTTTACTTGAGAATGATTTGGCATTGATCCCATAGCCAATGTACGGGAATGAGATCCTCCATGATGAGCTGAAGAATCCGAAGATTCTTCAGGTTTTCCTTGGTTCACTTTCTTTTTCGCAAGGATAGTCATCTTCGGATCATTTAATAACACATTAACAACAAATCTTGCGATTCTCACTTATGTACAAAATGTTAAATTCTTAGAAACAACAGATGATTTTCAAGTCACACAGAAGACAGATCATCCCAACCCACAAACATTAGCAGTGTGATCAAATAGGCAGTGATGCATTTTCGTTCTTCTAGAACATTCCACGGTAGATGGAAAATGATAGGCTGCTGTGATGTACACTACTTGTAAAATGAATTCCAATATCTACAAGTTACTTGTCATCTTTATTCACATGATGAAATTTGTAGTAGGTTATAAATCAGACACGTGAAACCACATCTGAATCGAGGAATACAGATACTGGTTCTTTAATTTTACTTCCCTAGTGAACAAAATCTTTAATTTGAGGCGTAATTATAAAAGAACTGTTTCGTACATTCTTATATTTCTTACACAGCCAGACAATTGGCAGCAAGAAATATATAATTTTCTCCGTACAGATGGATTCCAACAGAGTAAGTGGCAAAGATGTCAGTTTAATATGGCAGGCACAAGAGCATTCAAACACAAACGCAATTGGAAAGATTTAAAATAAATAATCTATGATTAAAACTATTATGAGTGTATATTCAATATCATATTATTCGCCTTTATCATGTAAACTAAATTTGAAATTATAAATGCAGAATTTCCAACCTAGAGTAAATATTAACAAAAATGAGAATAGTTATCTGCTCGCAGATCCCACAGCCTTTTGAATAGTTGGAAAACATTTTTTAACCAGGCGTTTAATGTTCACAGCGTTCATGGTATTACCCAGACAGATACACACACGGCTGATCCATAAGTGCCAGAACCTAGCCCCATCGAATTGGAAACTGCTATTGAGAAGTCGAAAAAGTATAAATCCCTGGCACTGATCAGATTATGGCCGAATTGATTAAAGCAGGAGGCGTTCCGAGACACACAAAATGAATTGCTTTATGTGGGATGAGGAAGAAATATATTATTTTATTAATTCATAAGAAGGGCGATAAGACTGACTGTAATGATTATCGAGGAATCTCCGTCTTATCAATCACCTACAAAATATTATCCAACATTCTTCAGGCTAGGTTAACACCATATGCCAATTAAATTATTCGTGTGGGTTCCAAAGTAATACATCTACAATTGGTCGAATTTTCTACATTCCCTTGATACCAGACAAAAACTAGGAATACAATGGGACAGTCCATCAACTATTTACAGACCTCAAGAAAGCCTATGACTCAGTTAAAAGAGAAGCTCTTTACAATATTTTGTTTGAATCTGGTGTACCTAAGAAGGTAGTCAGGCTAATTAAAGTGCATTTAAATTAAACCTCCAGCAAAATTCGTGTAGGTAAACATTTGTCCGATATATTTCCTATTCAGAATGGCCTGAAATGGAGATTCTTTATCACCACTGCTTCTTAATTCTGCCTTGGAATATGCCACCAGGAAAGATAAAAAATCAGGGCGATTTCTAATTGAATGGGACGCATCAGCTTTTAGCCTATGTTGATGATATTAATCTGTTGGGCGATGATATAAATACTATAAAACCAACAATGGACACCCTTTAGAGGTAGTAGGGAGGTTGGTCTAAAAATAAATGCAGAGAAGGTAAAGTATGCGTTCATGTCTTAGCATCAGAATTCAGGACAGAACCAAAATATAAGGATAGCTAATGAATCGTTCGAAAATGTGACAAAATTGAAGTACTTTGGGACGACTCTGACCAGTCAGAATGACATTCATGACGAAATCAAGAGTATAGTAAAATGAGGGCATGCCTCATGTCATTCAGTCTAAAAATATTTGTCCTCCCGTCTTACATAAATAGGAAACTAAAGGTTAAAATATACAAAAGCGTATTTTTGTCAGTTGTGCTGCATGAGTGGAGAACTTGGTCTGTCACTTTGAGGGAGCAACAAAGTTTAAGTGCCTTTGAGAACTTGGAAGACGGATCCTGGAGAAAACTGCATAAAGATGAGCTTCACGGCCTCTACGCCTCACCTGATATTGTTAGGGTGATTAAAGTGAGGAGGATGAGGTGGGCGGGACATGTGGCACGCATGGAGGAGGGGAGGGGTGTTTACAAGGTATTGGTTGGGAGGCCTGAAGGGAGAACTGCTGGAAAGACCTAGGCGTAGAGCGGATGACAAGGTTAAGATGGACCTTAGGGAGATGGGAATCGATGGAGAGAAATGGATCCAGCTCGCTCGGCAGAGTCCGGTGGCGGGTTTTTGTGAACACGGTGATGAACTTTGGGTTCCATTAAGAAAGTGGGCTATTTTTTGACAAACCGAGTATACAATCTATTTTTTTAAAAAAAATTCCTGCACCACGGAGCGAATGAGTGAGTGAAATGCAGAATTCTCATTCGTACTAATATACAAGACTCATTTGCGGAAGCCGTGAGAACCTCAAAATGTTCTGACGTATTAGCAGCACTACCTAGGAATGGCCTCGATAGCCCACAATTTCTATGGATAATTAATGTTTCTAAAACAGTAGCAACATCACCTGTGCTGGTGATCGGAAAGAAGTTTAGGAACTTTTCCACAGGCGAATAATCTTCCTTTAAGTATTAAAAACGTCATTTCAGCGATGTGTGATATTTCAAGTGATGGATTAAAATTATGGAAATTTTCTCTTCAAGGATGATCTTGGCACTTTGTCTGCCATTATACTACTTATTCACAGATAATTGATGTAGGCCACACTTGCTCCTTCTCCCTGCATCACCGATACGCGACATGTTTAGCCAGAAATTTATATAACTCTGGTGCTCCACAGATATTTCGATCCTCTGTGTACCTTCACTTTTATAGGCCCAAAATTTGCTCCCGAAAGTTTGCGTTTGCCGTAGTTATAAATGTATGAGGTTGTTGTCAAGTATTTGAATTATTCCCTGTCTTGAAACAATCGAACTAATTCCTATTCGATAGAGCACATCTCGCTACCGATTGGCCACCAATTAGCGGGAAAGTAAAAAAGAAATACATCTGCGCGGTAAAACAGTTGGAATTTGGATATAATAAGAAAGAAGCGATTTTCGTAAGTAATTCCTTAATCATGTAATTTTTAAAGAGCAATCAATTGAAGATACAGCGACTGAGTAAATAAATTTTTAGAGAAATAATACAGAACGTGATCTGGAAATAAATTGCATCGTGACCGTGCTGTAGCTCAGGCGACTAGTCGCCAACTTGTCACTGCGGAGGCCTGGGTTGGCACCCGGGGCAGTCCATCTAGGGGTTTGTGGTTGGTGAAGTGGCTCTTTGATACATTTTTTCGGCGTCATTCTGTTTTCCCCTGCCAATATTCTACATTTGCTTCCACATTCTCAAATGTATCATCTGGGGGATGGGGTAATGGTATCAGGGTTTGTACTGGTTTAATCTGGCTCAGTATATGAATCGGTGGCAGACACATGGTAATGGACCTTTAGGTTTCATGAATGCTTGGGAAACTTTTGAGTAGCCAAGTGACTTATGATTTCTCAAGGACTCTGTACGACAGGTTTAGTAAATGTAAAAGATGCCGTTCAGGTTGTCGAACATATTGCATTGCAGGGTGATATTTTTGTCTCACAAGTATGCCTTCTTGGTTATATAATACTAGGTCAGCATATTTTATATTCTGGGGAAAGTAATTTCATGGGGGTTTAGTTATGAAAAAAATGTGCTGGGGTGAACCAGCATGCAGTTTCAGGTTGAAAGAAATTGACATGAATCATCATCTGTGGCTGCAATTGTTGTTATGTTTCATTTTTCACTTTTAAATGAATAATTGAACAATAAGTAGTTTGCAAACACAGAAGTGATATAAGTAAAGACATTCTAATATTAATGTTGATAACATCTGTACTATATAATTTTGTTTTTTAAGTTCCTAAAGCTGCTTACCTATCTAATATTTTTATGAGAGGTGCTCACAGCCCCTTGCTGTTAGAGAACACTGTCTTCATTGTCATCACTTTGTTTTAGAAGAAGCACCAAGCCTAAATACAGCCTTGAAGATGCATAAATATGCAAGAAAATACACAGTGAAGATGTCTGTCTTACGGATTGTAGTGCCGAGTGGTCTGGTAGAAGTTTATTGCTGCCTCTTATTCATCGCCTAAATGATGGAGGTACCAGATACCTCTTGAACATCAACAAACTACTACCAGACCACTCGGCACTACAACCCAGAAGACGGCCATCTTCACACCCAACACCATGAGAACATCAAATCCTACTAAGTATACATTGGCTTTCCTTTTTTGAGAAACCTGAGCCACACATATTCAAATTACAGCCACACAGAATGTAGAATTGCTTGCAACAGAGGCAGCGTGTGTATAACAATTTAATTTTACTGTCATGATGGCATTTAGTTAGAAAGAACATGTATGTGACTGAGCAATATATCACATCAAGTTTTAGAATAGTTTTTAAGGTAATAATTCACTTGTAAGTAAATTAGTATCAGTAAAGTCATTTGAAGAATTGTTGATGCAAATGCAGAAATATATTAGTTTTAGCCAGGAAGTGGAGAGGAATTCCTATTCGATAGAGCACATCTCGCTACCGATTGGCCACCAATTAGCGGGAAAGTAAAAAAGAAATACATCTGCGCGGTAAAACAGTTGGAATTTGGATATAATAAGAAAGAAGCGATTTTCGTAAGTAATTCCTTAATCATGTAATTTTTAAAGAGCAATCAATTGAAGATACAGCGACTGAGTAAATAAATTTTTAGAGAAATAATACAGAACGTGATCTGGAAATAAATTGCATCGTGACCGTGCTGTAGCTCAGGCGACTAGTCGCCAACTTGTCACTGCGGAGGCCTGGGTTGGCACCCGGGGCAGTCCATCTAGGGGTTTGTGGTTGGTGAAGTGGCTCTTTGATACATTTTTTCGGCGTCATTCTGTTTTCCCCTGCCAATATTCTACATTTGCTTCCACATTCTCAAATGTATCATCTGGGGGATGGGGTAATGGTATCAGGGTTTGTACTGGTTTAATCTGGCTCAGTATATGAATCGGTGGCAGACACATGGTAATGGACCTTTAGGTTTCATGAATGCTTGGGAAACTTTTGAGTAGCCAAGTGACTTATGATTTCTCAAGGACTCTGTACGACAGGTTTAGTAAATGTAAAAGATGCCGTTCAGGTTGTCGAACATATTGCATTGCAGGGTGATATTTTTGTCTCACAAGTATGCCTTCTTGGTTATATAATACTAGGTCAGCATATTTTATATTCTGGGGAAAGTAATTTCATGGGGGTTTAGTTATGAAAAAAATGTGCTGGGGTGAACCAGCATGCAGTTTCAGGTTGAAAGAAATTGACATGAATCATCATCTGTGGCTGCAATTGTTGTTATGTTTCATTTTTCACTTTTAAATGAATAATTGAACAATAAGTAGTTTGCAAACACAGAAGTGATATAAGTAAAGACATTCTAATATTAATGTTGATAACATCTGTACTATATAATTTTGTTTTTTAAGTTCCTAAAGCTGCTTACCTATCTAATATTTTTATGAGAGGTGCTCACAGCCCCTTGCTGTTAGAGAACACTGTCTTCATTGTCATCACTTTGTTTTAGAAGAAGCACCAAGCCTAAATACAGCCTTGAAGATGCATAAATATGCAAGAAAATACACAGTGAAGATGTCTGTCTTACGGATTGTAGTGCCGAGTGGTCTGGTAGAAGTTTATTGCTGCCTCTTATTCATCGCCTAAATGATGGAGGTACCAGATACCTCTTGAACATCAACAAACTACTACCAGACCACTCGGCACTACAACCCAGAAGACGGCCATCTTCACACCCAACACCATGAGAACATCAAATCCTACTAAGTATACATTGGCTTTCCTTTTTTGAGAAACCTGAGCCACACATATTCAAATTACAGCCACACAGAATGTAGAATTGCTTGCAACAGAGGCAGCGTGTGTATAACAATTTAATTTTACTGTCATGATGGCATTTAGTTAGAAAGAACATGTATGTGACTGAGCAATATATCACATCAAGTTTTAGAATAGTTTTTAAGGTAATAATTCACTTGTAAGTAAATTAGTATCAGTAAAGTCATTTGAAGAATTGTTGATGCAAATGCAGAAATATATTAGTTTTAGCCAGGAAGTGGAGAGGAATAGTATGTTTCATGGAAGGATATGTAAAATCTGTTCGTGAGTTTTAGAATCTTTATAGAAAATACTTAGAAAATAGTTCATTTTCAAAAGGTTGTGCTTAAGTTAGTGTGGACTTCTATGTACTCTTAAAAGTTGCCTTTATAAGCACTTAAATGTGTAGGTATGATGTTTTCTGATTTTTTATCTTGGGGGAAAAAGAATGTTACAAATTTACATATTCCTGAAACTAAAGCAGACATCAGTGACACAGAACATTCCCCAAGAAATACTGCACTTCTGTTGTGGCCGCGTCACAGTGTCCGCTTGCGTGATAGCACACCCTTTTTTTTAAAAGCAGAAGCCACTTGATTTTCCACTCCTATTCATTGCGAACACTGAGCAGACTGACGTGCGACATGCCATCTTATGCAAGTTGATCGATTAATGCTACACATTACTTTTATTTCAGGAATTTGGACAACTTAAACCATGTTTTATTCCTATGATCTGCTATGCCGCAAGCCAAATGGAAAATTTACAGTTATTTGGCTGTTGGCAAATTCTAGGAAGGTACATAATAGAGAAGTCATGAAAATGTCGATTCCTCATATTGTGTAAGTATTCTTTTTCACATTTATGTTTTCCCCAGGATGCTTGATTCCTGAGGCCTAGCCCACTGCGCTTCTTGCTCCTGGGTTTTCTGTGCCCACCTATAATTTCAAAATTCATTGCTTCTTCCTCAGGCTTCCAACGTGACACGTTAGAGTACCACCAGAACTGACCACCTTGGGCTAGGTCATCTCTGGGGTCTGTACCCCCTAGGGAAAATAACAGAGATTTCTCCAAATCTTGATCCAAGCCCGAGTTGATACCCCTACAGTTTTACAGATTTAGCTTTTCCCCAGCGATCTTGTTCAGTGGGGTTGGGCCCCTTGCACTTGTGCTCTTGAAGCTCACCCACCAGGCTTCATTTCCCAAACATTCCCCAGGCTTTCAGATTCCATAGTTTCAGCCATTCTGTGCTTCGACACCACTGGGCTTTCACCATTGTAAGGCCTGCACATCGTGCAGAATCTGTCAGGCCTTCCACCTGTATGTCATGTCTTTCATTAGCCTGCTGAAGCATTCTGTTGCAACAGTGACCTTGAATACCACTGTTCGTTCTGATACCATTGTTACATTAGTTATTCCCTTGGTTGCCCTGCTAACATCATTACTCATAGTAAGCCATAAAGAATGCATTTGGAATTTTATTGCACTCAAAAGGCTTTGGCTATTTGACCTGAAATGCTTACATGATCCTGATTTATCAGGTAAAGGTAGTTGCCTCATGTAATGTAGGCATATTGGGGATATTGAAACCTAGCATGTCGTGCAGTGTTGAATATTTACCTAAAAAATTAAATCCGTGGCGTAACAGCTCCAGAGAGCCAAAGCCGACTAACTTGACTGCTCGCCTCGCGTTCACATGCCTAAGCAGAGGTGAACGATCATCCAACCAGATATAGGGTGACGTGTGGTCAGCACGACGAACCCCCAGCCATTGCTAGTTTTCCTGACCGGATTACGCTACCCATTGTAGCTCCCCAATTTCTTCACGATGCTGGGTTGGCACCGGTCCCATACACTGGTCGAAAGCTCATGATAAAATTTCTTCTCCCCCGAGACTCGAACCAGCGCACATTCCGTATCGGAGGTCCGAAGCATGATGCCTCAGACCGCGCGTCTACGGCGCGGGACTGAATATTTACCTAACATATATAAAATCGTGCATACAAACAAATCACTTTGTGCCAAACACGTTTCAACCTCAAGAGATCATCATCAGTGAAAAAAAGACATTAATTCATTAGTCTGGCTATTAAATCATACAATTCATAAGATGATGGTTTTTTATAAAGCGCCGAGCATGAAAGGGTCACACTTTATAAAACCGTACTTCATGTAATACCAAACTGAACATTTAATTGCACAAGACTTGGTGTATTTAAATTGAGTTACTTAGCTTAAAGTCCACTGGCCTAAGTTGCGGTTTCCATTGTTGGTCTATGGTGAGCCGTGGTTGCGTTGTCTGTGGCTGGATTGTGAACTTCAATATTGCATGGTTAATACTGTCTGTCATATTGGGAATATGGAGGTAAAACAATTTTTATTGTAAATCTCAGAATTAAAAGATTATGGAATAAAGACTCCAGAGCAGAAACATATGCAATCTACAGTCCATGTACTGAATATATCAAAACATTATATTAATTTATCCATGCAAGACAGTATATCAGTCACTTAAGGAGGTAAATCTAAAACATATTTTATTTTTATACCAATTTCTGGCAAGTTGCTTGTGTCATGCCAATATACAAACCAATCTAAGTAAAGTTTCAGTGTTTTTGAAAGACTTTTAAGAGACTTACTGAAAGGTTTTCTTAATTTACCTTCATGATTGTAATTATTTGTGTCCAGCTGTATTTCTCGTTATTGATATTTTATGTTTCATTTTTCAGCAACGATGTTCAAAATTTCATCGTTGGAAGTTATCCTGATCATTTGCCTGAAAGTATTGGTAATCGTTTCTCTCTGTATCTCTCAACCAAACTGTGCCATGGAATTATACTTGCCCTTAGAACACAGCTTATTTCTTTCATGAGTAAGTATACATGTTGAGTTGAGTTGAAATTCTCCATGCCGGGTTGTCAGCCGAACCTGAATCTCCAACTTCTTTCCCCTGATCTGTCTGGCTGGCTCTCATGTTAATTGAAACTCTCAAAATTCCCTAACGAGCCACTTATCTGCTCAAGAAAGTTCATAGGTCATCATGTAAAGTTCCTGTTATTGTCCTCCAAATTTGATCAAAGTTGAAACATGTCCAGAAATTTTAGTAAACTGTGCAATATAAAATTTGATGAAAATGTGCTCAGTGGTTCTGAAGTTGTTACATGTGGACAGACAGACAGACATGGGAAAACAGTTTGTTTTTCGTAGTTCCTCATCCTTTACATGCCATGTTTTCCCTTGTATAGTTAATTTTTAGATGTATAATTGTAATATACTGTAATTACTGATGAGCCGGGATAGCTCAGTCAGTATAGTGTCTAGCTACGGGCTGGACGACCGGGGTTCGATCCCCGACGAGGGCAGAGGATTTTTCCTATTTTTATTGAATATGTTTCTTTCTTCTTCTAGATGAAGTCTGTACATTATCTTTGTACTCCACATCCAGGGGCATTGAAGGGTAAGCGAACTGCTTCAGTCGCATATTTTCTTGAGCATTCCTCTCGTTATGATATTAAATTAATTAATGTTTTGAACATTATGATCAGATCTGTTTAAAATAGCATTTGACTCAGAGGCCAGTAAGGACTTGAAAGAACTAGGAACAGATTATAATATATTATTATAAAAATGGATGTTTAAAACGTGAGTGGGGGGAAATGCGGACTGGATTTATTAGGCTCAGGATTAGAGATGAGAAATTCAAATTGCTTTTCCATGCTGAGCTTACTCACTGCTCGGATGATGAAGGCAGTACACGCATCTGAAACGCCAGTCAAGTTCTGTGAGACCACGCAGTGCAATATCCGAGAAAGCTGCCAACTTCATATGCACCACCATGACAGCCTGATTTAAACTAAACTTGGATTTCTTCCACCTTGCCTTCATAGATCAGCTCTCCTGAAATTGACCAACATTTTATTTTTGTGGATTCTAGCTAACAATTAATCTAATGTAATCATGGTTTTTACAGCTCCATCCCAGGAAGACATGATGGGAGGACGAGACCTGATGGAGAACCTCACCTCAAACGTAAGTGTTTCATTTATGGCACAAATGGGAGTATTCCTGATACCAAGGTACAGAGAAGTATTGAAGAGAATGCAACATGAAAAGTTTTCAGTACTGTTTTCATGGGGCAGGAACACAGTCTAGTATAACAGAGCACTCACTGTCCATGTACTTGCGTAATAATATGCTCAACTAGTCAAGAAATTCCCCACATTTTATGGAACCCGTAGGTTCATTATCATGTTCATAACAGCCATCCATGACTTAGTATCCTGAACCAGATGAATCCAATCAACTGTCTCCCAATTTAATTTCCTAAGATCCATTTTAATATTATTTTCCCATGTTCTCCCACATTTTCCAAGTAGTTTCTTCCCTTCAGGCTTTCCAACCAAAATATTGTACATAATTCTCATTTTCCATGCATGCTGCACACCCTGCCTAGCTCGTCCTATATTTTCTGAAATTTCTCATGAATGTATTTATGTTTGTTTGTCTGGTGCATAATATGAATATATAAATTCTGTGAGGTTTCAGGTTCTCATGACAGTGAAGTTGTTGATGTTGTTCTTGCGGGTTACGATGCTACGTGAATTTGTAGGTAAATACAAACATTGCAGAGAAATATACCGTCTCCATCTTCAGGGCGTATGTCCTCAATGTGTCATAACCCAGAACAACATCAACATCTAAATTTTGCACGTCTTAGAAAACTGGACACACTGAGTTTTATGTTGAACTAAAATGATGCTATATAATCTGAGCTACTGACAGCATCATTTAATAGATCACAAACAGATAAAGATGGTGTAGGAATTAATTGTTCATATCTAGTAGGGCGTTGTCTAACACGGTGGTCTAGCGGTTAGAACGCTGGTCTTGTAATCCTGGGGTCTCGGGTTCGATTCCCGGCGGTGCCCGAATTTATAACTTGTGTTGGGCAAGGCCGTGGTCTAGGCAACACAGAGTTTTCCTCCGTGGCATCCCAACAATTACTCCATTCACACACAGAAGAAGGCAATGCAAAACCACTTCTGGATCATCTGCCAAGAACGTATATGAACAGGTCCCAGTCCGAGAAAAGGATGGAAGGATCCTGTTCATATGGACCTGTCGTCAGACAGAACACTAAATAAATAAATAAAGTAGGGCGTTGCGTAAGTGTCGGACAGTTTAAGAGTTTCATAGAACTGGTTAAAGTTCTTTATGTGTGAATAACAGGACAGAGAATACATGAGCCAACTTCTGAAGTGGAAGTCGACCCCAGAACTTCAATTATGGTGTTGGAGGACCTTGGCATTGATCTTCTTGACCACTTGGAGGTGAATGGTGCAGCTGTAAGAGTTCCAGAGGACAGAATTACGCTGCGGGATGAAATGGCACCCGTTCAGCTGCTCGGGGTAGATAGTCAGGTGAGATAACATTTCCTTTGAATGCATAAATGGTCATTAATGTTTGACACAGGCCATTTCACCGATTAGGTTCTCCCGGCGCTTCAGATAAAACTTAAAAAGAGGCATCTTCAGACCTAGAACATGAAATATGAGTTCCAACCACGAAATGGTATTGTTCGTTTACATGAGTGTTAGAAGTTGGACAGACACTAAAAATTTTCTGAGACTCGCTGTAAACTGATTTATAAGTTACAGATATTCTTGAAGTTTATTCTGTTCTGAAATGGCTTTTGTTAAATCCTTCTTGTGCATTCAGTATAACTGATGAAACAAAACATTTTAGAACAATCTTCAGTTATGTATCATACTTAAAGTGCTTGTACAGAATAATATGATTTGTTGAAATTAGTATATGGTAAGTTTTTTGTTATGTTCATTATTCCCTGTGAATACATGCTTGTGAACAGCTAGATGTCAGTGGGAAGTAACGGCACTGGCTACGGAAAACCTAGAACCTTTAGTTACTGAGAAGTGTGAGTACGCTAAGATGATGACTTGAAGCACGTCAAAACCACGCCACACATCTACAAAAACAGTGGCAATGCGTGGATCACTTCAAAGTTGTTTCTGCTATGCCTGAAAGCATTTGAAGAAAAATGGGGTCTGCTGCTTGAAAATCGCTTCTCTTTGTGAGCTCGGTCCAGCATGCCATCATGACACCTAATGCCTGAAGAATGTAAAGATGGTTTGTAAGACTTGAGGTTCTCACAGCGGTGAGTATGAAAATTTCCGTCTTCTGGGTTGTTGCACTGTGTAGTCTGGTCGATGTCAACCAACGTTTCAGAGGTCATACTGCCTCCGTCATCAGAGTATGAAGGTTTCTGTCTTCTGGGTTGTTGCGCTGTGTAGTCTGGTCGATGTTCACCAACGTTTCAGAGGTCATACTGCCTCCGTCATCAGAGTATGAAGGTTTCTGTCTTCTGGGTTGTTGCGCTGTGTAGTCTGGTCGATGTTCACCAACGTTTCAGAGGTCATACTGCCTCCGTCATCAGAGTATGAAGGTTTCTGTCTTCTGGGTTGTTGCGCTGTGTAGTCTGGTCGATGTTCACCAACGTTTCAGAGGTCATACTGCCTCCGTCATCAGAGTATGAAGGTTTCTGTCTTCTGGGTTGTTGCGCTGTGTAGTCTGGTCGATGTTCACCAACGTTTCAGAGGTCATACTGCCTCCGTCATCAGGGCGATGGTTTATTTCTGTGCAAAATTCCCTAATTAATAGTATTATCAGGTAGTCGAGAAATTACCAACTTTTATAGAGTCCATAGGTCCATTACTGCGTTAACAAGAGTCACCAAGGAATCTTTAAGGTTTAATAATATTAAAATTTTGCTTTGTTGGCAGGGCTTTGGTGAAATATCTGCAGCAGACCTAGAAACATTTGTGCAACCTCAGGATCAGTAAGTATTTATTTATTTTACTGGCATTGCAGTAAATTAACCTTGAATCAGTAATAATGCCAACACCAACAGGAGTTTAAGTGTTAAAGGGTTCTTCATGTGGTTTCACACGCAGATCAAACCCAAGGCATATATTTTCATGGTCTCATGGTCATCATATCACTTCCTAATCAATTTTCTTTTCAACTTTTCTTTATCTACATACGATTCCATGAGAAATACAGAACATTATAGAAGACCTAGAATCATTAAAAATAGTGATCATTTCAAATTGATGCGAAAGTAGGTAATTGCTCATAGCTTGCAGCATTTTATAACTACAGTAGAAGAGAATAATAAAATAGCATGCAATTTTATGTTAGCTTACGAGGTGCGATCGGAAAGTTTCCAGACTGTGTCAATAGAGGGCGAACCGGATGTAGTACGAGCTTCTGCCGCTAGGGGGTGCGGCCTACATTCATAGTGAATCAGTGTGCCAGCCGGCATCATCGAATTAGCATTTGTTTCTTAGTTACGGGCGTTTTGGTAGTGCATTACACCGACCCTCCTGCGATTTCGGAATGGCGCGTGTGCATCAAATTTTGCCAAAGACTCGCCAAAACGGCTACGGAAACCTATGAAATGCCAAAGCAAGCATTTGGGGAGTCCGCAATGGGTCGTGCACAAACGTTTGTGTGGCATTCACGTTTTTTTCGGGCGTTGTGCTCGAAGATGGTCGTCCAGAACGCTCGTCATCATCGACAGAAGTTCGGCCGTTTTTAAAACGTGAATGCCACACAAAAGTTTGTGCACGACCCATTGCGGACTCCCCAAATGCTTGCTTTAGCATTTCATAGGTTTCCGTAGCCGTTTTGGCGAATCTTTGGCAAGAGATTCAGGCCGAATCGCAGATGGTGCTTGACAGGCTGGCAAAGAAAGATTTCCAGGGATGCTTCCAGGATTGACAGCGGCGCTGGGATCGTTGTGTTCACTCCCAGGGGAACTACTTCGAGGGTGATGGATGAATTTAATACCTGAGATAAGTGTACGGGTTTTTATAGGCGCAGTCTTGAAACTTTCCGATCGCACCTCGTACATATACAATATCCATAGATCCACTATAAGGTCCTTTACATTTGTTTAGAAAATAATGGTAGGACCTTTGTTTCATGACCTCTAAGTGTGTTGAAGAAATATCAGTGACCTATCATAATTCAGCGGGACAGAAATCACAACAGTGAAGCCGGATGTCATTGTCTTCATCATCACTACTACTACTAACACTGCTATAGACTGTGCAGTGAGCATAATTCCTGGATCACACCATATTTTTTAATAAAACTGTCAGATTTCCAAAACTCCCAATTTATTATGTCCCTGACTCACAGTTTAGAACAAGAGCTTCATACAAACAAATTCAACAATTTCATTACTGCATATGAAAAGGTTCACTATCATAAAGTTTCAGAATGTGCACCATTACCTGCTAGACACTGCTGTCATCATCATCTGTACTGATTTATTTTGTACTGTGCAGGGTAGAGAGAAACTGCGTAATGTTACTAAGGGGAGTTTAAGGTCATAACTGCTATTCTTATGAGGTTGCCAGAGACACCTATAATAATGACTCTGAGCAGGTTCTGACACATGGTATCTCATGTGACTTCAGAGATATGCAGATTTTCAGCCGTGGAGAAATAATTTCTTTTATATGTATTTCGTATTATTCTCGGTGTAAACCAGTTATTACCTTAAACAGCATTAGCCAACTGATCTTTGTAATGGTCAAGTGTTGTGTTTCTTTGAGGTATGGACTGAATTCTTAAATAATATATGATCTTTGGATTTAAAGGGTTAAAACATTATAAAATAGTAACCACATTCATTACTGTTTTAAATTGTATGAAAATTATCTTTTTCCTCTAGAAGCTACACATGTATTTCATTTGTGATGTGTAGTGTACAACAGCTAGAATCAAAAGTTTCTTTACTTTTGTGTAGAGAAGGGAAAGGTCCTGGCCCACAAGAACAAGCACCAGAAATTGATGAATCCTTTGTTCCTGCTCCTGCAATTGAACAACTTCCAGGAATCCATGTGGAAATTCAAAGACCTACAGAGTTTCCTTCAGAATCACAAATTCCTGTAACAGTGGCAGCACCTGAGGATGAACACCCACCTCCAGCTCCACGGTCATCAACCCCTCTTCCTCCTCCCATTACTCCTCCACCGCCACCTCCTAGAACAAGGAGAGTCTCCGTAAGTAGTAAGAAGAACAAAAACAGTGTACTTTAAAACACTATGATATAATTATTTAAACTGAGTAAGGCCAAGAGATCACTGTCACATGCAAACCCAATACATGATGATGGCTCTTCTCCCATCCGCAAACTGAAAGCAAATAAAACCCTACAATGTCTAACCAAAACGATGATCCACTTTTAATTTGTATTTAGTTATGACTTACTACCTTGTGTTTGTTGTTACTCAACACGGATGTCTCTGGAGCGTAAGAATTGAGTGAAAAAATTTTCAATTTGTGCACTGTTGGTATCCAAAATCATCTGTCGTCATATTTACAAATTTGTAAAGAGTGACTATCATTTCTTACCCCTTCTGACACAAAAATTCATCCTTTTTAATTGCACATTTGGAGCATACAGAAATTAAATTATTTATGTGTTTTGATGAAAAAGATTTAATCATTCTGTACAAAAAATTTTACACAATTGTTACGATTATAATGCTGAGATAGCCCAAATTAACTCGAGTTAATTCCCTCCCTGTCCAAAAAATGTTGTCAGTCTGAGATGTCTCAGGATAATCAGGGAAGGTGTCAAGAAAGACCTTGTTTGAAGATGGCTGTCTTCTGGAATACTGAACCACGTAGTCTGGTAGATATTGTACAACACTTCAGAGGAGCATACTTTTTCCGTCATAAGGGTGATGAGTAAGCCTCGTGCAGAAAAGGTAGATACAGGAGCAGACTGGCCAGACCAGTGAGAGAGGATTGGGTTGACGGTAGGCAGAGCAGGAGAACCAGTGGGAGATTGGAGACCTCAGCAAGGCTGGAAGGGGAGAGAAGGAGCAACAGGAGATAAAAATACCAATGAAGATATGAAAGAAATTATTATAAGTACAAGTATCCCACTGCATGCCATGTAGAGGGAGGGAGCAGGTATAGCTCCTACTCATTTTTGACCTTGGCACAAGATAGGGGTGAGTGGTCAGCATCATGGTCGTCTAGTTTGTAGTCAGTTGCTGTACCGACTTAGCTACCCCAACTCCTGATATACAAAGGATATGGAATAAATTGCTCTGATAATATGTAACAGGATAGCATCAGTGAAAATCACACAAAGAATGAAATAATGCAGATAATAATTTTTCGTCTCTGATTGTCCCGAAATGAGGACCTGTGACTTTTGTATGTTATCAGGCTCCGCCACTTGTACTTGACGAAGACGTTCACATTACCCTTCCATCAAGGAGACCACGGAAAAAAAGAGTTCCATTCCAAGATGTGCAGATGCAGATATCAACACAAGACATGAGAGAACAAATGCAATCATGGGAAGACACCACAAGGGTTCAGGTAGGAACACGCATCTCGAGTAATACATGATCACAAACTTACATTTTAATTTTAAAATTATTCTGAAGTAAAATTTCAAAGCTATGTAAAATTTCATCCCTTTAGCCTGAACATTGTATTTTTCATGTATCCAAGCATTCCTATTATAACGTCCCTTTTATGTGCCTTTCACAGCAGTATGTGAACGCCCGCTTGTCGACTGTTTCTTGCATGCGATAAATGGCTCTTGAATGGATTTCAATGACATTCCGTAGTGTGGATTCTTACGAAATTACGTATTTTTGCCTGTGACGTACTTCCAGTCAATTGGTCAGTAATGTAACTACATTGTTGTTAGGATGCAAGTGAAGACCATCTCGTTATTGATCAACATCGATACATCATTCCTGCCCAGAAGTTACTCAGAACAGTCAGAAACCGACTTCTTCCTGATGAACTGAAAAACCTGTTTAACAGAAACATGTTCACTCAGAGCATGCTTGATGACTCACTGGAGGAGGAGTCTCACATTTGGGTATGTACAGTACTTCCTTTTGACTCCTAGAGTTCTCAGAATTACAATATCTTTCACTCGTATGGAAAGAGCAGTTCCATCACACCAGATGATTTGGCACTTTTCATTTGGAGGTTATCCACCTTGAAGTTCAACTGTGCTGTGAGTTGAGCTGGTTGAAGTGAAATTTTCACAGTTTTCCTCAGTCTTACTGAGTAAGTTAACTGAAGCCGTAATTTTACAACTTATATTAAGAAATTACCAGTTATCCAGGTTGAGAATTTTTATGATTTTCTTTGTCCCGCTACTTTGAATCGGGCCAGTCACTTCATTTCTATCAACACACACAAGCATCTTTTCACAAAATTCAGTTATAAATAAACCTCTTCATTGGCGCAGCATCATTAATAAACTACCTTCCAAGTGACCGACCACTGGAGAATGTGTATTGTGATTTATTCTCACATTCTTGGAATTCATTGAAAGCTTTAAAGTTTCTTCACTTACTGCATCATTATTAATCTATTCTGTGTTACGGGCAAAGTGTTTAATTGCATAGCATGCATTTGCACTGAAGGGTGTGCAGCTAGGCTGTTATGTTGCCAAGAGGTCGTAAGCCATAGGTATTGTGTAAAGAAGTAACAAGGGAGGTAAAACACATGAGTTGATCTGGACCATAAGGGATGAGGAGATTGAGATAAATGCTGGGCCTAATGAAAGGGAAGGAGGAGTCAGAGATATCGTTAGAAGAAGGGTACAAGTAGCTATGTGGTGAAGTGAAAGGTTTTAAGCGAACTGCTGTGATAATGGATAATTCAAGAGATATAAGAGGAAGAAATTAATATACGTGCAAAAACATAATATCATCAGGACATTGAGAAACTGAATACAGTCAAACCTCGGTTCACAAATGCCCCAGATCACGAACAATTCAGTTTACGAACAAATTTTCCGAACACAAAGCGTCTCGGATGACGTACTGTGTCTCGATTTACGAACACGTAAGCCGTCAACATCGTGGAGCAATAAGCTGGGAGTATCAGCGTTGGCAGTATTCGTAGAAGAAGAAAATACCCCGAGTCACCAACACCGATCGGCGAGATGGTCAGTTGCTGTGTAGCTTTCGTTCGCTCGAATTCACTGTGCCTTCTCTTGTATTTCAGTGTGTTTTGTGTTTTTTTTTTATAAATTATTAAATAGGACACCATGGGGCCAAAGAAAGACAATGATAGAAGCAAAGTGAAAAGAAATCATAGCCAAACATGAAAATGGTGTTCGTGTCTCTGATCTACAGAAGCAGCTACAAAAGGCGTTTGTGAAGGAAATGTCTTCAGAGGAAGAGGAAGGAAGGGAGGATGTTCCTACTTCTTTGATCCGTGAAATTTGTGCAAAATGGGGTGAGGTGCCAAGTTTCATGGAACGATATCACCCCAATAAAGCAGTAGCAAGCATAAACATTTTCAATGATAATGCTAATACTTTTACATAATTATGCTTGTTCTAATATGGAGTCTTTTAATGTTTATTCAGCAACCTGGAACTTCCAGTAGCTCACTACCTTCTGTGAGTGCAGATGAGACTCCTCTGTTGTACCCAGACATCAGTGCAAGGTGAGAGAACATAAGCTTCATATTCTTCAAGGTGTCCACTGTGCTACTTCATTTCTGGACATAACAAAATAAAGCATTTGGTTACTATCAAATTCAAGAAAATAATATCAGTAATGTTGGTATATTTAAAAAATTCTCACCACATGAAATGTTCATTTGTCCTACTAAATGCATTATCCCTGTGAAACAACTTGGAACTTCCCTGCTCTCATAAAATCTTACTAAACGGCCAATCTTTACAGTTGCAAAAATTAAACCACGTTATTATGGAATGCGTTATGAAACTCTACACAAAGTGTATAAAGTGAAGCTTTCGTGGCGATTGAAGTTGATGAAAGACTCTCGGGTTACAAGCCGCGTCAGGTGGCTGAAAGGTGATTAAACCGTATCTCCTGCCCAATGTTTCGAGAACAATCTCCATTCTCATCCACAGCAACATTGCTACCTGCCATCCACTGCCAGTTCCCATCTGCTAACGTGCAACAAAGGAACGGACCGGTTACCCAGCAGCCCTGAGGACGAGAGCAGATATTGCTCTCGAAACATTGGGCAGAAGATATGGTTTATTCACCTTGCAGACACCTACGTCCCTTGTAACCCGAGAGTCTTTCATCATCTACGCAATGTGTGTGAAGTGTTTTCTTGTTGAGTGACTGCTTTTTTACAGTTGAAAAAGTTGTTTCTTTCTGGCATTTCAGTTGCCATATTTTAACAGTACATATGCACTGCCTTTTCTGCCAGCTCTATGTGAATAACCTTGTATTTCATCTGTACGTATACTAAAGGATGACAATGATCATTGCTGAAGCTGAGGACAGAAAGCTTATTTCCAATTACAGAAATATCTGTGAAGCTTTGTTAGACACAGTATCCAGTACCATATTTCACAGTCTAGGAGGTGCGATCGCAAAGTTTCCAGACTGCGCCTATAAAGATCCGTACACTTATCTCAGGTATTAAATACATCCATCACCCTCGACGTAGTTCCCCTGGGAGTGAACACAACGATCCCAGCGCCGCTGCCAAGCCTGGAAGCATCCCTGGAAATCTTTCTTTGTCAGCAAAAAGTTGTTTCTTTCTGGCATTTCAGATACTATATTTTAACAGTACATATGCACTGCCTTTTCTGCCAGCTCTATGTAAATCACCTTGTATTTCATCTGTACGTATGCTTAAGGATAACAATGATCATTGCTGAAGCTGGGGACAGAAAGATTATTTCCAATTATAGAAATATCTGTGAAGTTTTGTTAGACACAGTATTCAGTACCATATTTCACAGTCTGTGTGAAATACAATCATATTAGTTTAAATAAGTAACAAGAGTGTAGTAAGACAATTTTATAGAAGATGTACAGAATGTGATCCATCAGTAGTTATCTGTATTGATATATTAAAATAAATCAGTAAGTTCATAATCATCATGCTACTTAAGACTGACACATAAAGAATATTGTCAGTAGTGTATTGTTTTCCTGAAAGAATACATACCAGAGTTCACATACGAAGATTAAGAAAGTTTGAGAACTATAAACATTTCAAACCCCATGCGAGGACGAAGCCCAGAGCAATCGGTTTCTGTAGAATGATTTCTTAGACACTCGTCTCACTGTTCGCAACTTGTAGCTTTCTTTGAACATCTAAAATCATTCAAAACCTCATGTTCTTGGCATAGCTTCATCATCTGGGAAGATTCTCAGCAGGTTTTACCATCCCTTTCTCAAAATTTAAGAATAATTGTTTAAAAACTTGCTGCTAATTTGTTTGGCAGACATTGGGTGCATATTTTACAAATTCCACCAGAAACAAAACAAACTATGAGCACACCTACACCCTCCTACACTGAGTTAATGAGTTAATGAGTTATGGAAATAGTTTCCATGGTTACAATCCATCAGCATTGTTTATGTCCTAAAAAAAGTTCTATCTGGAAATGTTTGAGTCACACATCGTATATCATTCTTTTGATCATGCAAAAATTAGTCTTCTACAATTAACCTTCCAAAACATTAAAATTTGAGGAATTATGTTTTCTACATGTTCCTGCTTCTGTAGCATAATACTATAAACTTAAAATTATTCATTGTCAGGAATTTTTCCATCATCTGTTCTTTAAAACCACGACGTTTCGGAGGCTGGTTCTGTCTCCGTCTTCAGGTGAGAGGTACCTACTCTGTTGGGTCCCTTAGATAGAGCTAGTCTCTGTCACTGGACAGAGTAGGTACCTCTCACCTGAAGACGGAGACAGAACCAGCCTCCGAAACGTCATGATTTTAAAGAACAGACGATGGAAAAAGTCCTGACAATGAATAATTTTGAGTGTAAACTACCGTCGTCAAAACCCTTTAGAATTGAATAATACTATAAAACTTATTATTTATGTAATGATTGTTTTCAATAACCAAACTGAGAACCTAATGTGACCACAAACCTAACCTCATTTCCATTTACACCTCTTACCAAATGTACACAAGTTTTCCTGGGATATCTTCTATATTCATTCACTTCAGATTACCTTTATGTGCATTTGTATACAACTAATGTGTAATTACCATTGCAGGCCTGAGAGGTCTCCAGTTCCGGCTCATGTCCTAGAAACAATTACAGGTTTGTTAACACATTGTTACTTATTTATCCACCTAAGAGGACGGATAACCAGTAATCCACAGAAAATTGAGATATCACGACTTTTGTTCTCCTTGCTTCTTTTATTTATTGTAAGACATTTTGGATAAAATTAAATAATGTTTTTTTCTTAATAATTTTTACATCTTCAATTAAAGTCTTTTGAGTTATGACATGGGATTGGCAAACAGATGTCACTGGGAAAAGCCAAAGTGTTCACTGAAAATAAAAAATGTCTTTAGTCATTCTGAAAAGTTTACTGTGTCACATTTGAAATGCTTCTACAAATATATTTAACTAGATTCGCACTTTAAATACAGGAATGAATAAAATTTATGTTTGAATCTCTTGTGTGACAAATCTAGAGTAGCAAGTTCTGACAGAAGAGCTTCAGAACGGAGAAGCAAAACATGCGAATATTCAGCCCTTCTGTTTCTCCCTGCCCTTTATGTGCCAGTCAGAGTCTGTCCATCCCCTTCAATTTTAAAGATATCAGTAATTTCACACAAATTTTCATTCCTCTTAGTTGTCATTAATAGGAGGCTCGTCCACAAAGTAAGTTTCCCTGGGGCCATTTACAGAAACAAAACACAATTTCATGGAAATATTTATTGCAACAGATACAGCAAGTGTCCAGCTATTTTTCAACATATTCGCCACCGGAATTGAGACATTTGTCATACCGTGGGACCAACTTTTAATACCTGTGTCGTAGAAGTCTGCCGCCTGGGATTGGAACCACTGTGTGACAGCCATCTCCGCCTCTCTGTCATTCTCAAAACGCTGACGCTGACGCTGACCGGACAGGAATTTCTTGAGGTGTAGGAAAAGATGGAAATCACTGGGAGCGAGGTCCGGGCTGTAGGGTGGATGATTAAACACCTCCCAGCTGAACTCCTGCAGGAGACTTGCTGTCCGTCGAGCCGTGTGCGGCCTAGCGTTATCACTGACCGCACTTCACAGTCGGCGGGAGCTGGAATAAGAACCTCCATCTTCAACAGCTGCAACGATGCTACTGTGAGAACGCGGGAAGTACCGTTAGTGCATGCGCCATGCTACGTCATTAATCTATCACGTACGCACAGTCGCTTCGCGCAATATAAGGTTTGCTAGCTGTGGGACGAGTGGGAAACTTACTTTGTGGACGCGCCTCGTATTTTATTCTGTAAATGCAGTCAGCAAATAAATATGGTGTTACTCAAAATATAAGAGCCTGCGTAGCCCAGTCATTATAGTGACTAGCTGTGGACTGGACGACCGAGGTTTGATCCCTGATGGGGGCAGAGGATTTTTCCTCTATCCTCTGCGTCCAGCCTCCTATCCAATGGGTACCGGGGTCCTTTCCCAGGGGTAAAGCACGGCCAGGGAGTGATTCTGACCGCTCACCCCTATCTAGTGCTGAGGTCAAGAATGAGTAGGAGCTATACCGCCTCTCCCCCCAAGCGCCTACATAGCGTATAGTGGGACAGCTTTAAATTTTCTTTGTTACTCAAAATATATTTTGGTGCTTTAAATTTTCTTTGTCACTATTAATGAACTTTTATTTGTTGTGCAGAAGGAGCAGAAGTTGAAGCTGAAGTTGAACAGGTATGTCCAGCAACGTGCCACACACTTATAAACAGGAACTATATTATCTTACTTCCTTTTGGCGAAAGCTATAGATCGTACAGTAAGCAGTACTTCTTACTTTACTGATACGAATGTTCGTGATGATGTGCAAGAGCTCAATGTAATGTAATCCAGGCACTTAAAACCACTGGGATAATATTTTTCAAATAAATTGGTTAACACAGCAATGGATGATTAAATGTGAAACCTTGTGTCTGAGAATAAAACTGTTTTGGAACAAAGAAAATTACTGCATGTATTCTTACTGGCCAACCAATCCAGTCTTGACCCATCGAAGCATTGTCAGAAATTTTAAAAATTATATTACACAGGACATAACCTAAATGTGTTTTCACAGGTGCCATGTGACACCACCATTCCAGCAGAAGTTCCGCAGGAGTTGCAAATTACGGCTCAAGAGCTGCCAACAGATCAACTCATGCCTGAAGAGCCATCCACAGTTCGGCCACAAGAAGAGCCTGAAATTCAACTTGTCAGTCATGTACAAGAAATAAGTAGCCCTAAAAGGTTAATACTTTATACTGGAAACAATTTTTCTACGCAAGGTTTAATCTGAAGTATATTTGAATGCGATATAGGAAGGATAATAGAACCCTTACAATTTTTCTTATTTTCAAATCTGCTTCAAAATATAAATATCAAACTGTTTTTTACTCGGCTGGATGTGTCACCTTTGCAGATCAACACAGAAGTTGTACTTCTTTTTTCATGATTATTTTGTATGGTAGAAAATATAAATGTTTATATCTATCTCATGCAAAATCTATTTTAGGAAATTCAAATTTGACCCAGAATTTTGTTTCTAAGTTCCTTCATTGCCGACAACCCTGTCATAATAAGATTCGATGCTGCAGGGATGACACGAGGCAATGTAGAGGCAGAGTGCCTCAAGAAGACTGCCAAATTATTTGAAACAGGTAAGCCGATTTGTTGACAGGCTATGATAAAAATTCAAGGTCAAATTTGAACCATCTACATACATCACGATATTCCACAAAATCCAAGATTGAGGGACGTAATACGTCTACTGTCAGTCACTTTAGCCTGAATATGGAAACTGGACTGTTTCTGAAATGTCAACAGACTAGTCCGCAACACAGTGCATCAGTCAGGAAATGGTGACAGGAGTCTTTTTGCTAGTTTAATGTGTGTGTGAAACGTAAATAAGAAAAAAATATCAACTATACAGGAATACCTCGGAGATATTGCGGGTCGGTTCCAGACCACTGCAATAAAGCGAGTCACATGAATTTTTTGGTTTCCCAGTGCACATAAAAGTTATGTTTACACTATACTGTAGTCTATTAAGTGTGCAATAGCATTATGTCTAAAAAAATGCGAGAATTACCAAAATGTGACACAGAGACACGAAGTGAGCACCTGCTGTTGGAAAAATGGCGCCGATAGACTTGCTCGACGCAGGGTTGCCACAAACCTTCAATTTGCAAAACAGCAATATCTGCGAAGCGCAATAAAACGAGGTATGCCTGTACATGATTTAACGTTTTCACAGTGCTGAAGATGTCACTGTTGGTCCGCTGCATAGTAATGCCACGTGGACTTGTGGGTAGATACCAGTGTTTCAGAGAAATATAATGTCTCCACCGTCAGGGCTGAAGTGCTGCCACACTGAAGACGGAGACCATGTTTCTCTGAAACACTCGTATCTACCCACAAGTCCACATGGCATTATTTGACAGAAGACCAGCGTTGAGCAGATATTAACTATCGGCCGACAAGACTGAACTGCCAGTTGGAATGTTTTTATGTCAGGTCTGAAGAGCAACTTCAACTGGACATTGAGATGATGATGCAGAAGTTAAGGTCTCTGTGGGATGCAGGAATTCAGGTCACATTTGGCCATATCTGTCCTCCAGCCTCTACTGATCGGATCACAGCAATGACAACTTTTGAACTTTTACTTCGTAAGTACCACTGAACTCAAAATATCATACACAAAGAAAACAAATATTTACACTACTAGTAAGACATATAATTATGCTTGATCAACAGAACTTTTATCGATGCTGAAATGAAGATGTACCAAATGACATACTTTTCAGAAAAGTTTTTGAATGGTCACCTTCATTAAAATAATGATGATGATAATAAGGGGCAGGATTATGTTGGTGCTGATTTTGGTAAAACAATTTCTAAAATATAAAAGCATTTAAACAGTGTTTTGAATAAAGGAATTGTTTTACAATATCATAATAAGAATAATCACACTCTGCAAAACAAAGCAATATAATATAACAAAGAATGATAATATTTACATTTAATTGTACAATAAAATAAAATGTCAGGTATTGTGCAATTGGTAGTAAGTATTTTAAAAGCAAGAAACCTTTCATACATTTGTAAGTTGTCTAATATTCTCACTGGAATATCAAACCCCTAGTTTGCATTGTTCGAACAAGAAAAATGACAAACTGATAATACATTTTACATCTTCTGAATATTTTATTAGCTGAATAAGATTTGAAACTTTCATAACGACCGAACGCTACCATGTCTTCTCGGGCGATCGGCCGTGAAAGTACGGACTGAAACTCCACACTGATCATGTGAGAAGACTTCACTATTTTGTATTAGCTGCTCTATAGTTTAGATAGTAAATTAAAACAGTGTTTTACAGAAAAGTGGAAAGATAAAATGTGTTTAATTGGCTACCAAACTCCCTAAGTGCAAAATGGTTCTTGTGTGCTCAGAAGCTACAACTGACACTAAAGGCACTCAATCAGTGCATACATCTTATAGAAGTGAATCTGTGCTCTCTAGCAAGACTTAAGTTAAAAGACCAACTTAAACTGTTGATTTATAAGTAAATACATGGTAGCTTCTTAGACGTAGTCCCCGTGGCTACATACTTTTACCATTGTTCATATACTTATTGAAGACATTTTTAGAAGCCACAACACAACTTGCAATACATTCTCTCATCTACTTGAACCTCCACTCTATCCATGAAGTGACGGCTGCTCTCTCAACCACACGAGAGTTAAAAATCACTCAGCGTGAGATTGGTAAGCACCACGGTACCACGCTTGGTGCGTTGCTACTGCAAAAGCACTAAGTGATGTTCCTGCAGGAGGAACCGCATTTCGGAACGCTCCTTGTTAACTGGATGAGCGCCTCATTTTATCTGTTCTCCCTCCCCACCGCCACCCTCAGAAACAAACTCCTGTACAGTGCCTGCCAGTAAAAAAAAATACTTCCATCGTCAACTTCCGTTTTGGGTTACCGTGTCAGAACGTCATGCACCTGCTTCATTGTCACTTGTTTACTTCTGTGCTGGAATGGTTCGAACTACCGCGGCGTATCCAAATTTGTTCACTCTTTTTAATATTTATTAATTAGTAGGAAACAAAAGCAATATCTGTAGCTAGTAGCAGCGGCATTGTCATGTTGCTTATTCACATTTTATGAATTGTAATTAATTACATATATTATTTTACTTCTAGACATGCATCATCTAAACATTGTGCTCCTCAGACAAAGTCTGCGCATCTGCCCTCCAACTCTTCCGCGTGAACCAGTAATAATTCACCCTGGACAGTGAAGTATAGTTTCCACTGCTGATAGCTTTGCCATGTATGTTTAATGGGTACAGTGAGTTTCATTATGACTCGAGTTATGTACATAATTTAATTAAATGCAATAGTGAGTTATCACATTAAAATACTGTAATCACTTATAAAACTAATTCATATTAAAATTAATACATTTTATCATAAGTTTTATCTGGTTGAATGACTATTATAACAAATATTCTAATTACTTAAAGGAATAATAGTTTCTTGCTAATACTGTACTAACATTAAATGTAGTTTTATTTGTACTAACATGTCGTGGGGTGGGGTGAGACTTTAGAGCTGATAATTCTAACCTTGAGGCTCTAGGTCTATGTGACTTCCCAAATGTCACTACGAAAATATTGTAACAAAGAACTGTAAACAGAAACCAACATGTAAAGGGTTAATGTCCTAAGTGACTGGTATGTTCTGTTCGAAAGGAACTGTTTTGTCTGCCAATATTTGACTAATTTAAATTAAATACAGAATTTATGCTTAAGATAGTGCAATTATTTTTCCCCACCTCAAATTCAGGCTACTGCTTGTGTGATGTTTGAGATTATTATGAACTGTTTCTCTATAATTTTATGGATACATTGTAATATTTTATGTTTTAAATTGAAATTAATGTTACTCTGAATCCGATAATAAAGAAGTTATTAATTACCATGTCTTTGCACTGAATTCTGGTTTCGAAATGAGGAAAGTTTTGTAAATTTTATATTTCTCGTGACTGACATTTGCTTTTTATAAATTTGCTGGGCTCCGATAGTACGGAACTTTGCATCCCACAGAAACTGGTCTGTACCACTGATTGACTTGGCATTTAATTATTTACTGCAAAGGTTATTTAGAATCTAGTGAGATGTGATGATGATTATAAATGACGAATTTAGAAGAATTGAAGCAGAAATGCTTATGGTACTATCTTGACATGAACCTTGTAGACCTGAGGAGAAACCTCCCAGTCATATACATATGAAGAAACATTATAAGCTGGCACTGCCATCTTTTATTGTGGTATCCAAGACAGAACGAGCTAGGGAAAGGATGCTAACGTGAAATAATGCCACTTTTGCATTTGTTAGTTGAATTTACAGATAAAACTTTTTTTTTAAATCAAAATATTATACTTAACTACCTTCTTTTCATAAGTTGAAGATATATTCTTTATCATCCTTTAATTTAAGAGTATTTTTGTCAGTAACAGGTAACGAATTATATAATTTTAACAAATTTCACATTTTAACACACTTAATTGATTCTGTGCACTAGTTGGGGAATGTTATCATTTTACACATACGGTCATCAAATACAGTTGATCTCCAAATTCAAATTTCATTGTTAATCCATAGGATAGTATTCAAGGAAGATCTTGTGACTAGATGAGTGTTCTTAGTTAAATATTCAACTGGCAGAGTTCTCACTTTTTTGAAATTCGTATAAATGTGATTCAAGGCCAATGAACATTGGGATCATGGATTTTAATCCCACTCAAGATGATGGAATTTGGCTGCTTTTCCATGTATTTCCCACACAGGCTATGTAATACTACAACCCTGAAGACAGCCATCTTCATGCATCTTTCACTTGTTTTTAAAATATCCCTGAGGGTTTCATTCTATTATGTGGGTAAGATGTGATCTCTGAACTTTGATTTTAATAACTGTTAAATGGAAAATAACATGTCCGGTGACAAACAGTATTTAACCTTTGCTGACATAGGTCCTCTAGACCAGTGGTATTCAACCTGGGGTACGCGTACCCCCGGGGGTAAGCGAAGACATCTTAGTGGGTACGTGAAATTTTAAAAAAATATATATTATTTCATGATAAACACTGAATAATCAGTAATGTAATTTATTTTAGATGTAGATTATATACTATGTATAACTTGAATTATACACCAACAACTTTGGGGGTACAAAGTTGAAGAGAAATTATATCTAGGGGTATGCAAACAAAAAAGGTTGAATACCACTGCTCTAGACTGCTCCAGACTTCAAAATCCCAAGCTGGTCTGAACACTCTGTGATTCATTTAAAATTTAAATGTCACTTTAAAATGGTGCTGGTAAAATAACATATTCTATGTTATTCATGAACAACGCAAGATGAAAATCCATTCTTCCAACAGCTGAGTGGGTTGGTTGAATAAAATTCATTGTATCGTGTTAAGAAACAATAGAAATACATAGTTTCCTAACCAATTCTCATTCCAGTGATTGACGTAAGGTTAGGAAACTTGTATTATTCTAGCTGGGAATAATCACCAACATATTGAAACATTTTAAACAGAAGAAAAAATATATGGTCCATCAGCCATATAAATATTTTAAAGAAAGAATTGTTATTAAAATGTCAGTCATTATAACTAAATTGTTCTCATGGTATTTTGTCATTAATTAGGAATACAGTTTTTTCTCCATTTGCAAATTTGAATGTCAATTTTATATTTTCTAATTACCCTTGTAAGTTACCAGCTATTGTTAGTGTGACGGGCAATCAGAGGTTGTCTTTCTGGAATTTGTTCCCTGAAAAAACAAAGAAAAGCCCTAATCACACACAGAAAACATAAATATAATTGTAATCATACTTGTAAGTGGTATCAGTCACAAGAACAAAAGTAGTAGCAGCGCTGCTGTCTTTGGTTAGGCCACGATCAGATTTTCTGTTGCTTCAATGTAAACAGACAATGCACAAATGTGAACTTCAAAGTAAAGCTGTTATTCACATTGGTGCAACAATTTTGTTTCAGAAACAGTTTCAACCCATGAGAGCTGAACTGATCCCACTTTGCTTAGGTCACAAAAATCACAATGTTTTCATGATGTGAAAACATTTCAAAAATACGTACCTTTAGTGCAACAGACACACGAAATAATTTATTTTTATTTCAAGATAAGGAAATATCACCAAAGCATAAATAAGAAAATAGGATTTCAATTAATGAAATTCATTCTTTGACTATGAAGTCAGTTTTCCCAAAAGAGTAATGGAGAAATATAATGACCTTCATTCATCCCAGCACAAATATCGCATTGACATAAATTTCAGAACAGTGTAAAATCATTTAAAATTCATTTGAATTTTTGTCATGCCAGATTTGAGCTTGTAGGTAGATACCGATGTTTTAGAGCAGGGGTCGGCAGACTACGGCCCGCGAGCTAAGAACGGATTTTACATATTTAATTCTTTGAAATTTCATGGATATATTTTCTGAACTGAAACTACAGTTCCAGCAGCGCTTTTCGGATCTTGATGCAAGTGCAGAAGACATTTCCATATTAAAAAAACCATTTGACTGTACAATTGAGAAGCCTCCACGTAACCTTCAATCGGAAGTGATTAATCTGCAGTGTGATCACATGCTAAAAAGCAAATTTCAAGAGAAGAATCTAACAGAATTCTATAAATGTCTTCCAAGCAATGAATACGGTCAACTAAGATCATATGCTCGGGGATTTATATCTGTATTTTTCAGCACCTACCTCTGTGAAAAGACATTTTCAAAGATGAAATATGTAAAATCTCAATACGGGTCAGCGTTAACGGTTGAACATTTACAATCAATTTTGATGATAGGGAGTACTGAATTTAAACCTCAGTTTGGTGAAATGATATCTCATAACAGGCAATTCCATTCTTGAATAAAAATTTTCTTGGATATTATCCATCGTCTAGTAAATATAAAACGTAAAACGACGTTTTGGAGATGGGACTCAATCTCCGTCCTCAGGTTCCTACACAGTTGGGCCCACTAGATAGAGCTAATCCCTATCTCCGGACCTCTAGCTCTATCTAGTGGGCCCAACTGTGTAGGAACCTGAAGACGGAGATAGAGTCCCATCTCCGAAACGTCGTTTTACGTTTTATATTTACTAGTTACACAAGTCGGCTTACCTATATAAATATCCCCGAGTTTGCCTCTTGGCCCGCAGAGCTTAAAATATTTACTATTTGGCCCTTTAGGGAAAATGTTTGCCGACCCCTGGTCCAGACTATGTTTGCCGACCCCTGTTTTAGAGGAACATTATGGCCTCGAATTTCAGGGCTGAAGATTGAGCCACTATTTACTTATAGTCCATATGGCATTAGACCCCAAAGACCAAGGAGAATATGAATCCAGTGAAAAGAAACAATCTCATTCCAACACACACAATTGCATCATGAAGTATGGTGGAAAGGAGTCTCAGATGTTACAATTGTCCTTAGAAAATGGAATTGATTTCAAGACAAGGATTGATCTCTGACACAGCACAAATATTGTCAGAATGTAGATTGTGTTGCAATGACCAAAATGCACACACTTGTTTCAGTGACAAAATGTGAAAAAGAATTCACAATTCAGTGATATTAAATACTCTTCTGTTTCAGGTAAACTCACATAATGAAAAAGGAAAAAATGGAGAATGACACGTGAGTAATGAAAATCCATATATTTTTGTAACACTAAATGTGAAGAACTGATACGAAATAAAAAATATGTCATCACGTAGTACATGAAGGTTCCTGTCTGTACCTCCATGTTACTTCTCGATACTATAACAAAGTGTTTCACACATAACTAGTAGATAGGTTATCTTTTACATTACAACATATTACATGCCTGCCTTTATTCAACAATTATCATCATACAGTCACCACTAAGTGATTCGACAATTATCATCATACAGTCACCACTAAAAATGGTCTGATATGACTGAAAAACATATGGTGAGATAAACACAGACTAGACTAGAATATAAAAATTGTTGGTTTTGTGACTGTTATTATGGCTTAATGTGACATTTGAGGTTTACACAGCAGCGAGAGGTTTTGGTGCCTCGCAGACTCATTGGTAGATGCCATCATTTCTCCCCCCACATTCCTCATCCCTGACTGGCCTACTCCCTCACTCTAATCCTATACAAACCCCCACACTTCCAAATATCGCCACTTCAGCCCTGAAGATGGAGACAGTATGTTTCTCTGAAACATTGGCACCAAAACCCAGATCATTGAGTTTGCTTTAAGTTTACGTTCATTCAGAAATGAGTCAGCCATTGATTAATAACAGTAGACAGTATTAAGTCGCGCCATAAGCAGGTCATTTAATATTATATTGATTTTCATTCGCCATGTTACATTCTGTTTTCATCTTGTTCTCTGGAAAATCCTACTGTCATTGCTTTCATGTCTCATAACTATGATTTTACAAGAACAGTCTAGTTAATTTTTCTGCTACTCACCTCCCATTAAATCTCAGATGTCTCAATGCCTAGTGACAAGGACTAACCTCATTTAACTGATCCCCCCATAAAAGGTAGTCTCTGAAATGCCATGTTTGCTTTTACTTCCAGACAATGGACAGTAATGATCACTTTATGTGAATCAGCTACTTCCATGTGGAACGAGTAACTTATGTGCAGTATACTGCACGCATTCACGAAATGCGTTTGTCAGTCACACCAAGAGCACCTCCAGGCTACGCACATTGCAGTTAAAAGCAACTAGCACGACAACAGATTTTAAAAGGAGGATACGTGCGGGATTTGGTAAGAAGAGATCCAGAGCAGGTTACAGCATCCTTCAGCACACTGTTAAATATGCTTGCATAATGTACAAGAGATGCATATTTACTGGTTCAGTTACACAGTACATACAGTAAAAGATGATTCGATAATTTACAAGTTTCAAAGTCAACATCGGTTTTAATGTTAATGACTAAACATTGATAGAGGTCGAGCGAGAAGTGCTGGCACTTGCGCAAAGGACTGATTTTGGTCTTATGAGATGGACCCGTCTGAAGCACCCGCTGGAGGGGTGTCAGCTTCAGTTGGTTTGTAGCTCTAGCCATGTTTAGATCGGTGCGTCACCGCAGCTAAGGCTGTGTGACCCCCACTACTACTGAACTCCTCTCTCACGTCTTAGACATTTAGGTGCCACCACTACTCGCGCGACGTATAAATAAGTACAGTGAAAGATTCAGTAGTAGTAGAAAACACGCAGGCTCGAATGGTGAGAGCTAAAAGGAGAAATCTGAATGCCACTGCAAGATGTTATTTGATACATACATGAAGATTTCCGTCTTCTGGGCATACATGATGGTATTCACTGAAGGATCTGAACACAAGTCATTCCAGTGCTTTAAATACTTTTAATTGCTTAGACTTTTAAAATCATAACATGTTACTGTACACAGATGATTAATATCACACATTTATTTTAACAGCAGAACATACACATTATGAGAACAACTGCTGATACGTCTTTCTCATTATTTAGTAAACTGTGTGCCACGTGTACTGTCTTTTAATTAACAAAACTGGCAAAACAAGCGAGAAAGGCCGAAATATCAAAAGAACAATGCCACAGGTAAAACTGATTCTATTTATATATGTATATAATATATATCTGTACAAAAGAAATCTTTAAATGTCAGGTACACATAACACATCTACAGACAGTATGGTAGTAACGACACAATACTTCTCTATTTCAACATTGCAATCATAAGAAAGAGTACGAAGTTTTTGGGATATATGCCCACAAAAAACAAATCATATTTATACTGCATTTGTCCAAATACTGTTCAAACTGATTAGCAAATTATTAAATTCAGCAAGAATGACACATTCTGCAAATCCATAAGGATATTTTGCCACATTAATATTATACCAACACAACTGAACGCTTAAAGCTCTTTCAGAAAACCCTGCGCTACTATTAACAATTACATATATATATATACATACACACAAAAGTCTTCCTCCACTTTGGCACAAATACCTGGGGGTACCAGGAAACTATGGATATCACATTTCAGTAAATACAGTTTATGTTTCTGGAATTATAATTACTTGGATAAATTTTAATATATGCCAAGAAGCATATTTCCTGTCTCACACAAGTAGACATGGCAAAAATGCAACCTATACACACATAGCACCAACAATTTTTGAAGACAGAGGTTTAGAATGGGTTGACCTGCCAGAGAAAAGTGTATATGGTGTCCTGAAAGAAAGAACAGAAGTGAGCTCATTATATTTCTGGACTGTTAATTAGCTGCAAAAGGATAGGTGAAATTATCTCACAACATTACTTACTTACTTAGGCATCTGCGGGTCCCAACATTCGTTGGCTTTGATCTATTAGACAATTGGTAGGACTCCTTGGACGAGTGATCGGCCTGTCGCAAGGCCTCTACCTGTACACAGGACAGCACGACACAGAGAGACGCGGACAAACATCCATGGCTTGAGCGGGATTTGAACCCACGGTCACAGTGTCCAAGTGGCACGAGGCCCACACCTCAGACCGCGCGGCCACTGTGGCGACATTATGTTTTACAGACTGTGGATTTCAAACTGGAATATATTTCAGGATAAACATCAGTGGTCAGAATCAGGAATCTTTCTTACAAGACAAAATCACGTCCTCAAAGCATCCCCATCATTTCTTCCTCTTACAGAACTCACATCAACACATTATGAAACTTCCATGTAAAACCTACAACCTGCTTTTGTGAGGCAGTGTTATCGGTAAAGGACACGGTAACATATTTTTAATCCAAACTGAATGTTAATATAGACTACGTAAGACTATGCAAAGATGAATATGAAGCAATATGTGAGTATGAAGTTAGGTATGAGGTTTTCGCCGTGATGAAGATGTTGATATTGACCGTTACCATTTGCAATGAGCTCAGTGATCACACTGCAGCTTAAGTCGTACAACGCATCAACTTTCTTCAGGTTACCACATCTAAATTACATCCATTCTATTATACGAATGTGATATCAGAAACCAGCTGACACAGACACTGATTTTACTCCCACATAAAACACGACCCAAGGGGTAAAACAGGCATTACAGTAATAAGCCTATAGCGTGACTGTTCAGTGACCACAACCAAACCGACTCTGAGGTCATTCAGTCGCCTACAGAACTAGTCCCTGGGATAAAGCAGTCAGGGCATGAAGCTGATAATTGACCTCCACCTAGTGCCCAAACATCTTAACCGCACAGTACTTAAAAATCATTACAGCGTGAACTTATGTGACTGGTCATCTAAATGGCAAATTCAACTTTAATACCAACATAGCAGCCACTAAAAAATTTTGAGATGATGGTTACACTGTTACAGCATTTAACATACAATGTAAAGTTATGTACTTTCTTTTCCCATTTGCATTCTATCGTTATCCATGCATCTCATGGCATGTGCCCCAATTCATGCTTTTCCTAACAATTTCACCACTTAAATGTTACAATTATCTGGCCCGTCCATGTAAAATAAACCCAGATTCCACACATATTATCCTCATTCTTTGTATTATCATAGCTATCAAAAATTAAAGTCTGCATAACATACATATGCATGTTGCATGTCTCTGTGTGTGTGTATAAGTTAATTTTTTAACATTTTTACAAATTCTTGTCCATGTAAGTCTTTCTGCACTTTCTCATCGTCATTGACACCCAATCTGATTCTGGTCGAGTTTCTCACCTTCAGATGGACTTAAAAAAAAACTGTTTCTATCCATTTATATTACAACCCACTTCTCTACTCGCTTACTGTTACATTACTTAAAATTCTCTGAAGTAACCGCGTTCACTTTATTTATCACTGCTACCTATCACATTATCGTTTCTCGCCGATCACGCCTCGTGTTCCCTTCCATCAGTCACTTTCTCACTGCTGTTTCTCGTTCTTGGCCACTATCACCTTCAAGTTCACTGTTTCTGCTCACCATTTTCCTTCTTCCTCTATTTAAAAAATATCTTGCGACATTATTCTTGAGCATTTCATCCCTGTTTCATGTATTCTTCTCTTACCTTTGTTTTACCATCATCAATCCTCACTTTTGCATCCCAAGTTTGTAAATCAGTTTAATTGTAATGATGTCCAAGATTATTGCAGGCACAGATGCATACTGAAATGTCAATGAACTTATATAGTGGTCGTAGGAGTTTTTGGGCGGTGGAAAATTCAGGAGGAAGGCTAGAAGCGAGTCACTTGTATGATAGTATAATATTTCCTCTGCTTCCAGGAAGGACGAGGAGCTTATCGGGCTGAAGGCCCAAACAAAACAAATACACTGACCTTGCCACTCCAAGTACACAGAGTAGGTCCATCCGCCAGCTTCTCCAACGGCAAAAAACTATGGTGTCTGCTATAGCAGATGACACGGTGTAACAACTCGGAAGACAACCACCAAGACTTGTGTTTACATTCCATTAATTTTCTTGCAAAATATTTTAATTTTAGTACTGTAAGTAACAAACTAAAGGCACAATTGTCTTCTATGCCACGTAGCAGCTCACATGGGGGAGTTAAGAAATGCATGAAGACTTTTTGTTGGAAAGCCTGAACGAAAGAGACCACAAGACTAATAATTCTGACTGACATTTCCCATCACATCTGGATCATGCACCAGTCATTCTTAATAATGAAATTATTTTATAAGGGCCGATGAAGAGCCCTCTTATCGGTTTCATCCATTTGCTGTCCATTAAACAATGCTTTGTGTAAAATCTAAGCTTCATTAAATCTTATTTAAAAAAATTCAAACTCAAGAACATGAAAATACCTGATTTTGATCCAAAGTTTCTCTGGCTACTGGGAGCGAGATCTCATCAGAAATGTAACAGGGCTGAAAATTGGAATTTATATCATGAGAAAAATGACACCTATTTTTCCCCATGCAAAGAGAAACGTCCACATGGCAGGCAACACGATACTTACAATTGCATTCCCCTGAAAGCATAATAATGCACAAGCAGCATAGCACAGTACAGCCACACCGTCAGTTTTTGCAAGCATCCACCGATTGATATGTGAATTAGTACTGAACATTTATAAAACAGCTTCTTTGTTCCTACAGCATGAACTCCATCCCTTACAGTAATACATGACAATGCCATTGACTGTATCATCATCATCCAATTATGAAGATCTGGGTCATCAAAACTAGACAAAGTGCTTCAGTGTTGCCTTTGCATTTCTACTATTTTATTTTGAGGTTTATTTAACAGAACTGTCATTATCTCTTTTCTTTAATATATCAATAAATGACATGGTGATGAAATAAATGATCATGCAGAAATTATATGGAAGAAAATGGTCATGGTCTAATTTACAGCAATCACCTGAATGGAGGGACTGCGGAAAACCACGAAAGCAGGATAGAACGGGCGATAAAAATACGTAGCACAACTTTCTTTGGAGGGGAAGTAAAGCTGGCAGTCCCATGTCATAGATTTACAGCATGTAAAAGAACCTTACGAGCATGGATGAAATGTTTCGTAAGCAAAATTCAGCGGCCATTTCTCACCCACATCTCTCCTGATTCTCTACTAGATGGCTCTATTATTATTATTTACTGTTCTGTCTGACGAAAGGTCCATATGAACAGGATCCTTCCATCCTTTTCTCTTCTCGGACTGGGACCTGTTCATATACGTTCTTGGCAGATGATCCAGAAGTGGTTTGCCATTGCCTTCTTCTGTGTGTGAATGGAGTAATTGTTGGGATGCCACGGAGAAAATCTCCGTGTTGCCTAGACCACGGCCTCGCCCAACACAAGCCCAGCATGCGAGAAAGCCAAGGCCTGGACTCAGGCTGTTGTGCCATAGAAGAAGAAGAAGAAGAAGGAAGACAGATCAGCCAATCTCTCAGCTCAATATCTGAACCTGGGATCTCCTGAATAGAAAGCAGGAGTGGTGACCACTGGATCACAATGTTCATGCATGCTGTCATTGTCATCACTGTTTTAGCGACATGGGGAAACCGACAGGTGCCATGAAAACATCAGCCAGCTTATCTAATTAAAACTCGTACTCAGTAACCATGCATGAAGTTAAGGTAACTTTCTTAGCGATGAGACAATTTCAGATATCGGAACAATGTCAGATACCAAGTGAAGGTCCATTTCCCATACCTAATTGGACTACACTAAATCCATTTTCGTGATGTACGTAACAAGAGGTATTAAACATACGGGCAATGACAGTACCACTGGCGAATAAGCCAGTAGAAGGAGTGAAACACATCCACACGTTGGGTACACGGAAGGAGTACATGGCCAATAACTCATAGGTCTATTTAATCTGCATCACATGACGCAGCACAACGATATAAAAGATGATAACAGTCGACCCTCACCACACAATTATCCACATTAGCATAAAGATGTGAATTGATTACATCACAATAGTTTTAAAGCTATATTAATATCACTGTGGTAAAAGTTAACCCATCTATTTCAGCATATTTAATTGTAATAATATTTAAATATGAGACCACATCACATGTCATTTTGGCTTTAACCACACTGGTTCTATTAGATGGACCTGGATGATACGTCTACAATACTCCTCACAGTACAGTATGCTGACACAATTCCAACTACTTTTAAAACTTAATTTCACACAATCAACACAACATGGCAGGCAGAACCTTCATCAGTACTTCGGTGATGTTATAACATGGTTACAGTTCAAACGGACATAAGTGGATTCAAATGCATCTACCTCACCCAAAGTAACTGGGCCCCATATTTTTTCTTAAACAAACAAACACTGAAAGACACAAGATTTTACTTCTAATGTCTTACAGTACTGACCACCTATGAGTTAAAACTCAGCAGACTGTGCTCGTAAATATTCTTATGACATCGGCCCTTGCACTTTAATCAAACGCTGTATTACGCTACTCAACCCATCAACGTTACTTGTTAAATGACTGTAGCTTACAATATTACTGATGACGGCCCTTTGAGGTAAAAACACATCTGGTTTTAATTACAATAAATATGTCAGAGGTTACAAATACAAAACACTTTACAGAAACAGAATGCATGCACACAACGTCTTAGAAGCACCCAACACAGAAAACAACATTCCACTTATTTTCCTTACATTAAACACAATTTCACAGTTGAATCATTAATGAACATACATCTAATGATCCCTGTTGTTAGAATGTGCTACAGTTGAGTTTAAAATGCATTTATGCATATTCACATGCAAGTGGCGAGACTGGGGATGAGAACTTATGTGACAGCTTCAAAACCATCAGCAGTTTATGTTTTGAATGATTATTTTTTCTTTCGTTCTTAAGAACTGTATTAACCCCTCAGGCCAGAAGTCCACACAGCTGTATGGGCCTGGCGACAGAACCCACAAAACAGTTGACAATACAGCTGTACCAGGCACTGCAGTCTCTTAAAACTGCTGTTTCCTCCACCTACTCACAAGCAACAAAACTAATCATGTCGGACTCTTCAGAAGGCTTTCTTTCATAGTGCCATCTGTTTTCTGTTCTGCAAAACTTCAACTGAAATATATTTAATCTTAATTATTCTATGGCTTATCATTCAAGGGTAAATCTGCACCAATATGGCTCATGGCTCAAATCAAGCATGTGTTGACAATGTTAGATAAAAATGACGTGTCTCTTTTCTAATGGTTCTGTGCATGTAGTGTCATGTGCGGAGAGAAAGACTATACATATTCAACTCAGTGATAGTTAATAAGAAACTGAAAAAAAAAAAGGACCGCAGACTATCTTTTTGTCAACAAAACTTTTATCTGACTGAGCAAAAGACAAATAGGGATGCATAAAACCACATACAAAGAGCCGTTCTGAAGCTCAGGTCCACGGCTAGAAATGGGATGCTGGCACCTCCATAGGAAATACGAGGTGTGATCGAAAGGTTTCCAGACTGCGCGTATAAAAACCCGTACACTTATCTCAGGTATTAAATTCATCCATCACCCTCGAAGTAGTTCCCCTGGGAGTGAACACAATGATCCCAGCGCCGCTGCCAAGCCTGGAAGCATCCCTGGAAATCTTTCTTTGTCAGCCTGTCAAGCACCATCTGCGATTCTGCCTGAATCTCTTCTATCGTCTCAAATCTCCATCCCTTTAGCTGAATTTTCATCTTTGGGAAGAGGAAGAAGTCACACGGAGCTTAGAAAGGAAGCTGGGGTCGGTTCTTGCAAGATCTTTGAGCTCCTGACAAACGAAAAGTCGATTCTGCTTCTGGTCCTCAGACAGGAGCCTTGCGTCGCATGTGGAGTTCTTCCTTTAGAATCAGCTCACAGGTCCCATAGCCTATCCCAACAATGTCGCACAAGTCGTACAAGTGATGGTACGACGTCGATCTTCGTAACAGTTTCGGGCGTTGTGCTCGAAGATGGTCGTCCAGAACGCTCGTCATCATCGACAGAGGTTCGGCCATTTTTAAAACGTGAATGCCACACAAAAGTTTGCGGACTCCCCAAATGCTTGCTTGAGCATTTCATAGGTTTCCGTAGCCGTTTTGGCGAGTCTTTGGCAAAATTTGATGCACACGCCATTCCGAAATCGATTGGGGCAGTTTGCGTATATCAGCATCATACACAAAACCACCTGCTAAATGCTACGTTATGTAGTGCCAAAAACTGTGCAATATTCATCAAGCTAATCAGCAAATCCTGCCAATGCTCAAGAGCTTGTCAAACTTTAGCATGAGCAAGGAACATCTTAAGGTTCCATCCATGGCTGTCTTGTCAAAATTTTCCTATGAACTAGGCAACCAACATGACCTGGGGTCACTGCTGGAACACGTGTTGCAACAATGGGAACTATTGCTTCAATTCAAGCCACTTCAACACGGTTTCTACATGATTTCTGCCATTTTCATGTTTCTTAAAACAACGCTCGTGTCCAACTGCAACACCCATTTAGCTCAGCGCATGATAAAACCTTAAATGATTTAATAATGACTCAATGGAACAAAGCTGAGGGAATTTAGCCACAGAAAGCTTTACAGTTTTCTTCAAGCCACTCAAAGACAATAAAGACAATCTTTGTGGAATAGGATTTGAGGTTTTCATAGTGATGAGTCTGAAGAAAGCCATCTTCAATCTTTTTGGAGGTTTTAACAATAAGATAAACTATCTGTAATACATGGTGCAGCATGTAAAGGCAACTGGTTTCAAATGGTAATGGAAAACACAGTAAGAGGGAAAATATCGCTGTTCTGAGGCGTTTTCATGCACAGAATTGGCCAGTGTGAGGGGTTAACAAAATGCTCTCGATTTTGAACCTTCAACGATATCCTTGAGAATTCTAAGGTGTAACCACAAGGTTGCATACCAGCAGTTCTAAAAAGTACTCACTTTTTACAACAGCAGATCTTCTCCATAAAATCTCCAAGAGAACTGGACGATTCCCTGCGATATATTCCACTGGAAGCTTCATCTGTGCAGGCTGCTACAAACACCCGAAGATCACTCTTGGGAAAGCCAGATTTGTAGTACAGCTGCTCGGAACACAGATAACTACAGTAACAGTACAGTAAGGATCCAAAGCCACATTTTAAACTGAATTTAGGGTGCAATTTTATTTCCAAAAGACAAAAAAACAGATCTACTCTGGAGAACATTTTGGCTGCCTTTCGAAATTCCTTTATTATAATGTGTTATGAATCCAACAAAACCATGATGGGAGGGGAGCAATGTTTCTGGTTATTCAATTTCTGGTTGTTGGATATCCATAATCTTTTATGAAGTAGGAGCTGCAGCTCAGAAATACTGCAAACACCAACATCTCATTCAAATCAACAAAATTTATGAAGTGAATACCTGAATGTATTAAAAAAAACCCTAAAAATCATACATTACAAAGCACACAATGCAATGGCGGGCAACATCTTCAGACCACCAGATGTTGAATAAACTAACCCCATTTCATGGAACTCTTAACCACAAAATGTTACCCACTGAACCCAAACAAATCCAATCCAGTCTCTACACTCAAGCTACATCTTTCTAGTACTACCAATGTCTTAGCGTTCTAAGTTTCCTTACCAAAATACATGTATGAGTTTCTTTATTCCTACATGCTACATGCCCTGTCGATTTAAAAATCTGCCAGTTCTTAATTAATTAAATGTGACTGCTATATTCTATAATGTTTATACGGAACTACTTTAAGTGAAGGAAGACATATTTCTTCTTTCTCATAGGTGGCTGCCAACGTACTGTACACAAATACAAAAATTTAAAATATGGTTTCTTAAATTGTGCAATAATTTGGTCTGTATAAACCCAAAATAATTATTTTAACCTTGTACTGCCTACAGAAGTTAACAGCCAGTAATACAGAGCACTAATTCTAAAACACAACCCAAATTGACTCAGTTTAGTAACAATGGCATGGAAGAAAAAACGCTGTCCCAAATTAATTTTAATTAATTGTTTTGCGAAAATCATCAACCCAAGATACCTCGGGGTAAATGGGAACATGGTTAAGTAAGCCAACAAGAGTAACAACTGTGTTGAATATTCCAATTTACTGCCTCTCATTTTATATTATTTGACTTTACTAACACTCATCCTTTTAAAATAAAATCATGTATTGAGAAATGACGTCATGACTGTGCTTACCTTGATTGTGTCATAGGCATCCATGATGACAGAAATGAACAAGCTGATCACCACATAGATGTAAAGACAGATGAAACAGTACAGATATATGCGACTGTACCACCACAGCATCGGGGATTTGAACGACATGATGGAGAACGTCGCGTACATGTCATCCCCATTGATGAGAGCAAACAAGCATTCAGAAGTGCTGGCCAGTGACCGGAACTGGAGAAATGAAGGCAGGAAACATGACGCACATGCTCGCAGAACACAGAAATGCACATGTGCACACTCTAAGCTACAAAATGTTTTATGTCATTGTCTGGTATTAATGTGTCCCATACTGACAATGTTAAACAAGAACACTGCCCAAATGGAAAACAGCAATAAATGCAAAATACATTTTATATATTTATATAAGTCTCTGTCAATGACACACCTACCACAATTTAAGGACTTAAAAAGAAAACTGAAGCTGTCTTGCTACATTCCATGTGGGCACGTGGGGGAAGAGAGGTATAGCTCCTTCTCATTCTTAACCTTGGTGTTAGATGGGGGCGAGTGGCCAGCATCACACCCCGCTGTGCTTTACCCCCAGGAAAGAACCCCGGTACCCACTGCAGAGGAGACTGAGTGGGACCCAGAGCTGGTCTGGACGCAGAGGCTAGAGGAAAAATCCTCCGTCCCAATCCGGGATCGAAGCCCGTTTGTACAGCCCATAGTCAGTCACTATACTGACTGAGCTACCCGGCCCATTAAAGGACTGCAGACTTTAAAATACATCAAGTAAAACAAGAATACAGTTCCTACAGTTTTCCAATGCTGTAACAAACACTGGGCAGACCACAGACAGCAGACTTGCATTTAAGTTAACAGAAAAGGAAAGAAATCCTGCTTAAATATAAACTTTTATCATCAATTCTACAAGCTTTCTGCCCTCCTGGGGTAATTGTGCTGTGACGCGTAACAGAATATTAAAATGGTTTATAATAAAAGCTCACTGTGAAATAAATGCAAACATGCACATTTATTGGATCCACAGACATTCTTTATACTGCAAATGATTTTACCAAATAAACAATAACTGCATGTTACAACAGTGAACATGACATAAATTGTTAATCTCATTATAAAATAAAATACGGTCCAATACATTCTTCAGTTAGGAGAAAATGTAAACATATAAACAGAAAACCCCATTTTACTGACTGATGGAGGGAAGATACATTAAAAGTGATCCACATCAATTTTCATCAAAATCAAACAAAGAAAGCAGGAGGAGTCACAGAGAGTGGTACTAATATATTTTTAAATGTACACACTCAAAAGAAAAATATATAAAAATTACAGTGGAAACAAAACATTATTTAACAACTTTCTGACATACCTTCATGTGGTAGGGACCAAGAATAAGCCACCCGCAAAACGTAAATCCTGCGTAGATCAACAATGCACAGAGGAGGAACCTAGCAACCTTAGGAGCTGCCTTTTTCAACGTCAAAATAACAACCTAAAAATCAAAACAACAAACAATTTTGGACTTTGTAACAATCAGACAAGAACTCCTGATTGTATGATCTTGAGCTTTCACGGCGATTGTGTACAATAAAATCCTCTCGGGCTATCAGTACCCTGAGGACGAGGACAGAGATGGACCTCGAAACGCTGGTCTCTTCATGTTTTAACCACTTGACGCGGCTGATAGCCCGAGAGGATTTTACTGTAACTCCTGATTGGTTTATAAAGAACAAGAATGGATGTGTTAGGGTCATCTGGGCTCTAATATCATGCAGTCTTGCAGGAAGTCGCCAACATTTAAGGCGGATTCTCACTTCTTATACCCAGACAATGGAGCTTTGATCCTCCCAAACATTGGCAACCACCTACAAGACTGCGAGACAATGTCACAACTCAGAAGATCACATCCACATTTTCACACCATCAAAATCTAATTATCTTATTCCTTTAAATTATAACGTAAAAATCAACTGTTACGGAGGTTCAATCTTGTCAGCATTATTGGGTTAATGAATTTACAACTAGCAACTTATAAAACAACTGACTTCTTCTTTCTATACGAATGAACTTTGATTGTACGAGGTCTGTCCAAAAAGTATCTGACTATATTTTTTTCCGCGGTAAGTAATGGCAAAAGGGTGGGGAAACTGAGCGTAGTGGTAGAAGGGACTTTCATGAGCATGCGTGATTTTTTGCTTCCTCGCAGCACCGCCGGATGCGTCTGTCGCTGCCAGATAGCGAAGTGGTGTAACACGTGTTCGTTGCATTCTCGTTTCGCTCAAGATGATGGAACGCTTGGAGCAGCGATACTGCATCAAGTTTTGTCAGAAACTTGGGGATACCCAAGCGGAAACAATCCACAAAATTCAGCAGGCTTTCGGCGATGATGCAATGGGGGTCACTCAAATTAAAGAGTGGTTCAACCGCTTTAAAGATGGCCGCATGTCGGCGGACAGTGACAAGCGTTCCGGGAGACCGTCAATGAGCCAAAATGCTGATGTCATTGACAAAGTGCGGATATTGATCATGGAGGGGTGTCGTTTGACCGTCCGGGAAATTGCTGATGAGGTTGGGATCAGCAGGGGTTCCGCAAACACGATTTTAACCGAGGATTTGGGCATGCGAAGAGTGGCGGCAAAATTTGTGCCCAAGCTGCTTTTGCCGGAGCAGCAACAACTCCGCCTTGAGGTCGCGCAGGACATGCTGGAGTGCGCCAACAGGGATCCTGATTTCCTGAAGACTGTGATCACTGGTAACGAGTCGTGGGTGTATGGATATGACCCGGAAACCAAGGTCCAGTCGTCACAATGGAAGCATCCAACATCCCCGAGGCCCAAAGCACGACAGGTTCGGAGCAATGTGAAGGTGATACTGACTGTATTTTTCGATTACCGGGGTGTTGTGCATCATGAGTACAAACCACTAGGCCGAACTGTCAATAAGGAGTACTACCAAGAAGTCCTCCGTCATCTTCGTGATGCAGTTCAGCGCAAGAGACCGGAGCTGTGGAACGCAAGCAACTGGCAGCTGCATCATGACAATGCCCCCAGCTCATTCATCACACCTGATCCAGGATTTACTGGCCAAGCACGGCATTCCGCAGGTTCGTCAGGCTCCCTACTCTCCTGACGTGGCTCCTTGTGATTTCTGGCTGTTCCCGAGAATGAAAACACCGCTAAAAGGCTCCCATTTTGACAGCCGTGAGGACATCATACAGAATGCGACGGCGCAGCTGCACACCATTCCAAAACAAGCCTTCCAGAATTGCTTCCAGCGATGGAAGGACCACTGGGATAAGTGTGTGGAGTCACAAGGGCCTTACTTTGAAGGGGATTAGGTATTGTAACCCCCCAGATACAGAACTTTGTTTTCCCGGCCCAAGATCGGATTCTTTTTGGACAGACCTCGTATTACTGGTTACGTTGGAGAACATTTTAATATTGGCTACTTACGTTGTATGTTTTGAAAAATCCGAGGTACCTCAGCACACCGAACCATACTAGGAGATTTCCAGTTCCCAGTAAAACACTGCAAATGTTCCACTGATCTCCAGCAAACTGCTAACCACAGATTTAAACACTATAATATTTTATATACTTAACCACACCTCTGCATAAATGCTTGAAACATAGGAAGTGTTACAATAATTCAGAAGAAAATGTCAAATTCATACCAATTAACGATTTATGATTAACCAGGTATCAAAATAATAAATAAGTTTAATTATTTGTTACCATAAATATGCCATCACAAAAGAGTAATTTATAATTTTTCAATGACAAGAATACAACCTAAATTTGAAGATGGAGCCTTACAAATAAGCAACACAGAAACAAAATGGGTGGAGAGAGTTATCAGTGTTAGGAAAACAGAATTACAGTGGTGAACCCCAAACCATGTGCCCGAAGTTGTCGTTTACAGGAACAAACATAAATTTATAATTCTTTAAACCTGAAATGTAGAATCCTGTCAGATTTAATATTAACTAATATGAACACTTCACATCACTTCATTACACCACTGGGCCTATCGAAGCTTTTTACTAGTTTCACAGTTTTCAACTACAAGTTACAATACGCTGCGTTACTGATGAAAATGAATAGTAATACTATAAATCAATAAAATGTAATAAAATAATGGATAAAAATAATTTCTATGTTGGGCTATATTATAATGTTCACATGAAATAATTATGCAGCATGTCATAAAGACAAGTCACACAAGACAGCAAAAACAACATAATAATTTCACATGTTATAATTTAACCCGACATAAAGCAGATTTTATCCACTATGTTACTGACGTTCATTTATCTTACCAATTAAGAATGTTACTATATATTTGCACTAACAGAGATGTGACTCACATTTGTTGAATTTTATGTATGAACCTGATGATTATAACTAATCAAATAAAACACAATACAACAAACAAATCATAAATTGCCCACCTTGTATCACTCCAAACCTCTGACATGTGCAAATATCTCCGACAACAGTAAAATAATGCACAATCTAACTATGGATCAAAAAAGAGAAGTGTTTCCAGTAATAAACACAAAAATCAAATTGATTTCTTGATGACATTAGCATTCTTATACATGGAATTTTCAATTTGCACATAGAATGCATAATAATATTAAAGATGAACCACAAATAAAAAGATTCAGGACTAATGCTATGTATTATAACTGTGTATGCATTGAAAATACCAAAACCGTTTCATTTTTAAAACACAGCTTTCAATTATTTTATTTAATTCCATCTTTCGGATGCTTTCGCAGACAAACTTACAGTATAAGAATGTCATAACTTACTTTTCTCTCAATCTGTTCTTTGATTGCAGAGCCCAGTATAATCAGTATATCATTAACAATGATCATGATGTACCACAAGTTCAGAAACTCGCACTGTCCTTCAGCACTTAGTTCTTTCTTATATACTTTCTGGAAGAAAGCCATAGTCACCTGAAACAAGATTTGTATCAGACCGTCATTTCATGTAAACTGTACAATTACAAAGCAAAGTGGAAAAGCAGTCACATGATCTTTTAAGCATAAATAATGAACTTCAAGACAAATTCATTTTAAAAAATGATCTCAAATTGACAAAAAGAACACAACACATTAATTTGAATTAATGAAGGGTTCATGTCTAAATAATTCCATGGAAAATGATAATCAATATTCATTTTTCACGTACAATAATTACAGTTAACAGCAGTTTGAATATTTTCAGCACTGAGTGCGCGAGTCATAGGAAATTTGTCAGGAAAGTCAGCAGTGAAACCCTCATATTCTACCACAACCACTTCCCCTGTATTATCCTGAGTTAACTGAAAGCAGTTTGAATTTTGTGGCTAGAAATTATTATCCTGAGTTGTTTTTTTTTGTTTTTAGCAAAAATCTGAGCTTCTTCTCACTAGACAGAACCAGTATTAGATAATCCACTGACAGACACTACCTCTGGCAGGTTCCGTTTGCTGCAATGCTTGTATCGAATGCAAAGAGCTGTAATATGCACTGCGTAAAATTGGCTTGTTACTACTATCAAGTTATTATTATTTTATGATATGGAATACAGAAGTGACTCCAGCACTTATGAAGTGGAAGACGTTCTGTTGATGATTTCAAAAGCGATACACTTTTAGAAGTAGAAATAAGACCCAGATTTAAACAGTTTTGCTGACATACAAACTTGACAATGTGTGACAGTAAGAACTTTGGAAGACCGCCACGGTGGTCTAGTGGTTAGAACGCTGGCCTTGTAATCCTGGGGTCTCGGGTTCGATTCCCGGCGGTGCCCGAATTTATAACTTGTGTTGGGCAAGGCCGTGGTCTAGGCAACACGGAGTTTTCCTCCGGGGGCTTCCCCGGTTTCTCCGTGGCATCCCAACAATTACTCCATGCACACACAGAAGAAGGCAATGGCAAACCACGTCTGGATCATCTGCCAAGAACGTACATGAACAGGTCCCAGTCCGAGAAAAGGAGGGAAGGATCCTGTTCATATGGACCTATCGTCGGGTTCGATTCCCGGCGGGGGCCGAATTTATAACTTGTGTTGGGCGAGGCCGTGGTCTAGGCAACACGGAGTTTTCTTCCGGGGGCTTCCCCGGTTTCTCCGTGGCATCCCAACAATTACTCCATTCACACACAGAAGAAGGCAATGGCAAACCACTTCTGGATCATCTGCCAAAAACGTATATGAACAGGTCCCAGTCCGAGAAAAGGATCAAAGGATCCTGTTCATATGGACCTGTCGCCAGAAAAAACACTAAATAAAAAAATATAAAAAAAACTTTGGGTCTACCATATCTAAACAGAGCGCAACATAACTCAGGATAATAATGAAGCCGTTTATATGCAAATTCTTCTGTGTTACAAAATATTTAAAAAGATCATTCGTCTAAATTAATACATGTAACAATACGTACCAACTTCAGTTGTTGCGCTCTGTAAATTGCACGACAACATAAAATGAGAGAAATGCTACAGATCACAATCACCAACGAGTTGAGGATGCTGCGGAGTATGGAATCCAACTGATTATCCACTGAAATGCATTCATTTGATTAAATATTTTGTATATTTGGGCAAACACGCCAACATCAAATTACTCAATTCTAAATTCTAGTAATCTACAAATATTAAAAAAACCAGAGTTATTAAAGTAATTTTTAAAAAAATAGTGTGAGATTTAGTGTATTGCTGTAGTCCAAAACAGCAAATCTAAACAGAACATCTCTGCAAAATTTCATTAAGTACATCAACAGCTCGTTAAAAGAACAGTACCAGCAGTACTATTTCATGTACAGATACAATAACATATAATCCCACCTTATTCCTTTTAAGATTATGTTATTTTATTGTAAATACGTAATGGACTTGGAACTGTGTTACACTTACCAAAGCTGGTAAAATGGGGCACACTAAGAGTATTATTAGATCACAATGTTTTTCCCTCTTGCAAATGAAGAAGAAATAATGCTTCAGTATTTTGTGTGCATTTATAACCCCTTCACTGTTTATCCAGAGATATGTCTGGCTGATGATTAGGGGAGGTGGGTGCAAGTTAAATTGGGTTATCTTCAGATAATAATAATTTACAATTATATAATCATTTTTTAAATATAATTAAAGATTTGTCATCGAAACACATGTCAATAAATTGATCTTTGTAGAAATAAAAAATAATTTTTGGGTAACATTTTCAGAAGAAAATTGATCGGGGAAAGGGTTAAGAAAACATTCATGTTTTGAAGAGGAATTACAAGAAAGTAATACAGGCAGCTAGTCTCACTTTTGTTTAAACTGTTTTCTTACACACACATACCTCACTGTGCTATTACACCACCACTAAATTTACAGTCTGCTACTGGAAGCTGTCTCAAGTTGCTAAAATCTGGAGAGCAAAATCCACAGCAGAATTATACATTTATCCATGTTATAAAACTAACTCGGTAACTAACAAGATGGCTTAGGAAACCCAAAAGTTCATCAGCAAATTAACCAAAGCCCTCCACCGGATCCTGTCCTGGGCCAACAAAATCCAGTCTCCTTCAACTCCTATCTCCCATAGATCCCGCCTGAGATTATCCTCCCATCTACGTCTAGGTCTCCCCAGAGGGCTCTTCCCCTCAGGCTTCCCAACCAACACCCGATGCTCACCTCTTGTCCCATCCATGCGCGCTACATGCCCATCCCATCTCATTCTTCTCGACTTAATCATCCTCACAATGCTGGGGGAGCAGTACAGATTTTTAAGCTCGTCATTATGCAGTTTTCTCCACGCCCCATCGTCTTCTCTCCTAGGCCCAAATATCCTCCTCAACACCCGATTCTCAAACACCTGCAATCTGTGTTCCTCTCTCAGAGTGAGAGACCATGTTTCGCACCCATACAAAACAACAGGCAGAATTATTGTTTTGTGTATTTTAATCTTCAGGTTCTTAGAAATCAGACGGGAAGACAAAATATTTTGAACTGAAACGTAGCAAGCATTTCCAAAATTATAAAATACAAACAACAAATGTGGCCTAGCCTCAAACAACACTGTATGGCAATTTTTCGGCTAAATGTCTTCCCGACTTTTGCCCTCCAACTTCCACTACACAGCATTATTCCAGACATGGGAACTTGTTAATGGGAGTCACACAATGATATTGTAACCAAACAGGTGATCTGAAAGTGACCCTGGAATAATGCTGTATAGCAAAAGATGGAGGAATAGAGCCAGGAAGACATTTCACCTGAAAAACGCCATATTCATGGGGAGGCCACTATTTAAGATTAAACCATAAACTTTTGAGCCTTGACTTCACATGAAATTTCTGCACCTACAACACTAAATGACCTGTATTCCAGTACACAGTAGCAATAGTAATGATAAAATGCAGCCCAACAAAAGACGTCCTGCATGAATTATGTAGGATCTAAGTGGTAACACTGACACAGACATCAAAAAGCTCTGTAAGACTTGAGGTTCTCACAGCGGTGAGTATGAAGATTTCCGTCTTCTGGGTTGTTGAGCTGTGTAGTCTGGTCGATGTTAACCAACGTTTCAGAGGTCATACTGCCTCCGTCATCGCCCTGATGACGGAGGCAGTATGACCTCTGAAACGTTGGTTAACATCGACCAGACTACACAGCTCAACAACCCAGAAGACGGAAATCTTCATACTCACCGCTGTGAGAACCTCAAGTCTTACAGAGCTTTTTGATGTCTGTGTCAGTGTTACCACTTAGATCCTACATAATTCATGCAGGACGTCTTTTGTTGGGCTGCATTTTATCATTACTATTGCTACTGTGTACTGGAATACAGGTCATTTAGTGTTGTAGGTGCAGAAATTTCATGTGAAGTCAAGGCTCAAAAGTTTATGGTTTAATCTTAAATAGTGGCCTCCCCATGAATATGGCGTTTTTCAGGTGAAATGTCTTCCTGGCTCTATTCCTCCATCTTTTGCTATACAAGCTCATTCATTATATTGTATACCGTTTCCCATTCACATTCCAGGCTTACAATATGGCAGACGTTTAGAAACATGCAGCTAGCATCAACACAGAATGACGTTTGGATGCAGCTGGATCTCTATGGCTTCCTTTACGGGCTTAGATCCTTAGAGATATTGTCCAAGTCTAATCTTGCATGACAACGGACGGAGGTTTCACCTTGAGTTAAGCATGGTATCCGGTGACTAACATGCTCATGAATTTTGGGGAAACACCAGGTAGTATGCAGAGCCAAACAAACCGAGCACTTGACTCCGCCCCCTAGCTCCTTGGGTATGGGTCTGGACATAAGCACTGGTCCCAAGCAGGCAGTTACACAGGCGACTTCCGAGGATCCAGTCACATCAGAACCCTGAAGATGGGGACAGAGTTGGCTCCCGAAACCTCGGTTTACTACGGTAACCAGTTGATGCGGCTGATTGCCCGAGAAGATTTTATTGACATACAACATGATTCAGAAGTTTAGAAATACTTCAAATAGAAAAACAAAAATATGCTCTTTCCTTATGACTCTGCATTTAACTTAATCAGTTTCAATGCTTGCTCTTACAAATATCTTTACAAGCACACATATAAATACTCTTATTTTAAGTATTCAAAATGGCTGCCTTTCATGAAGAAAGAGATCGTTGTTAATTATTCATTTCCTTCATATTTTATCAGAATGGTTTAAAAGGAGAAATGTTATGTAATCAGAAGGGTGTGGGAAGACACAATGTGGACAATCAATAAGGTTATCACATTACAATATGTCAATTTCTGTCAAGCATCTTACTGACTTCATAACCTTCCACGTCTCTGATAACAACGAAACAACGCAAGCAAGAAGTAAAAAAGAGGTAATTCTCACCAACGTACTCCACGTCACCTTTGCAGTAGAGACGGACAGCATCTGCATCCAGCGACAGTAACATCTGTCCATCGTGGTCCTCATTATCAAATGATATCTGAAAGTAATTCATATTAACATATTCAAAGGTCAGCTGACAATGTTCTGTCCATATACTGGAACCAGAATTTGTCTGCTAAAGAATGTTTAAATTTAAAATAAAAAATTCTAAAACATATTTTAAAGACAAGTGGGACAGAGGAATTTGGTTCACCTAAGAAGCAACGTGTTGAAGTGAAACCGGTAGCAAAGTTCGTGTAGGTAAACAATTGTTCGATACATTTCCTATTCAAAATGGCCTGAAACAGGGAGATGCTCTATCGCCACTGATTTTCAGTTTTGCCTTAGAAAATGCCACCAGGAAAGTCCTAGGAAATCAGGACAGTTGGGAATTAAATGGGACACATCAGCTTTTAGCCTATGTTGATGATATTAATCTGTTGGGTGATAATATAAATACTACAAGAGTGAACACAGAAGCACTCTTGAGAGCTAATAGGGAGGTTGGTCTAGAAATAAATGCAGAGTATATATGTACATAATAATCACATACATAAATTAAGTATGTGATCATGTCTTAGCATCAGAATTCAGGGCAGAACCAAAATATAAGGATAGCTAATGAATCCTTCGAAAATGTGACAAAATTCAAGTACTTTGGGACGACTCTGACCAGTCAGAATGACATTCAAGACGAAATCAAGAGGAGATTAAATTCAGGGCATGCCTCATATCATTCAGTCTAAAAATATTTGTCCTCCCGTCTTACATAAATAGGAAACTAAAGGTTAAAATATACAAAAGCGTATTTTTGTCAGTTGTGCTGCATGAGTGGAGAACTTGGTCTGTCACTTTGAGGGAGCAACAAAGTTTAAGTGCCTTTGAGAACTTGGAAGACGGATCATGGAGAAAACTGCATAAAGATGAGCTTCACGTCCTCTACGCCTCACCTGATATTGTTGGGGGGAGGAGAATGGGAAGGGTGAGATGAGTGGTACCTGTGGCATGCATGGGAGAGGGGAGCAGTGTTTAGAAGGTAGTGGTTGGGAGGCCTGAAGGGAGGAGACCGCTGGGAGGACCTAGGTGTAGGTGGGAGGATAACATTAAGATGGAGTTTAGGGATGGAGGGAACTGGATTCAGCTAGCTCAGGATAGAGTATGGTGGCTGGATTTTGTGAGCACGGTGATGAACCTTTGGGTTCTATAAAGAAAGTGGGCTATTCTTTGACAATCCAAGTATACAATCTGCCTTTCAAAAAATATCCTGTACCAGAGAGTGAGTGTGGGATGGAATGTGAATCACTGTGCCATCACATTAACCACTTGAAGACTTCTTTAAATTGCATTCTGTCTACCTTTGCAGCAACATTTAAATAGCAGCAACTGCAGGATACTCGTTTTCAAGAGACGACATTAGTCATGAGGTCAAATGCCAACCAGTCTGTTAATGAGTTAGTGGTGTCCACCAAGTCAGCTCACAATGTTACACCACACCACATACAATAGTTTTGGCTATAAAAACATCTTATTGTGTTCCCACAGAACATGAGAAACTAGATATATTTACTTAAAATAATGGATATGTTTTCTCTATCAGCAAGAAACACGCAAAATCAAAACAGAAACTACAAAATCAACAGATACTGTGACATCTACTCTGAAGATGGGGACAGCAGGTTCTTATGAAACCACTTAGAAGTCTACACAGTATCATGACTAAAACCTACACTGTCCTGGTGTGAAAATCTCAAACATCAGAGACAATGCAAATTTTAAAAGAATTGTAGTTCTACTAAGATCTTCAATTATTCTGAGTTTTCCTATGTGTGGTAGCTGCTTGTAAACCACACACAATGCTATTTTACTGTTCGGTTCGTACCTTGATACCAAACTCGTAACAATCTGGTGGAGTAATTGGTCCAGCAGCCTTTAAGTTGACAGTCTTCAAAGAAAATGTAATTGTTGCTCTAACTAGAGCAGAGAAGTTTATCACAATTCCGTGCTCCTGCAGGAACTCTCTGCTAGAGTAGTGCTCCGCAGTTACGTTGGGTTCCACTGTTAGATTGAGGCATCCTACGAAAGAATCACATCAAGTCAGAACACATCTCATTTCAAACACACAAAGTCAATTATAAAGCCTTCCAATGGAAAATAAGTCGCCCTCGGTGGACTAGTGGTTAGGGTGCTTGCCACAGGACCAAAGGTTAGCGGGTTCAAACCCGGCCGAGGCCGACGGATTTTTAAGGGGTGATTAAATCCATAGCACAACTTCCTTTAGAGGGGAAGTGAAGCCAGCGGTCCGATGTCGTATATTTACAGCACGTAAAAGAACCTTACGAGCATGGACGAGATGTTTCGTATGCAAAATTCAGCGGCCATTCCTCACCCAAATCTCTCCTGATTCACTACTTGATGGCTCTAGCAGACAAAATGAGGACTGAGTAGAAATTGTGCAGATTCAGCGGGCTTGTCACTCACTACTCATAAATGCACACTTCAAGGACAAAGAAACCTCCCACATGGGAGGAGGCCAAGGCTCAACTTCGGGCTAATGCGCCATAGAAACAAGAAGAATAGAAAATAGACTTACGTTCTTCAATTTCGCTATTGAACACATAACTCTCATTGAAGCCAAAGATGTCTCCTTCCTTGTACTGGTACAGGCAAAGAACTGGGGCTGGCATAGAATTATCTTCCTCTGTGTATGAATATGGACCAATGGCATTCACAAGATTTGAGTACTGAAACATTCACAAAGTAACACACAAAACCTTGAAGAAAAATGGATATAATATAAACACATGTGTCAAATTTTGCTGAAAAGTTCAACATTACATTGAGACTTAGCACGCATAAATATATAAATTAGTAACTTATAGAAGATATCCGTCTTCTGGGTTATTGCGCTGTGTTTCATCGCCCTGATGATGGAGGCAGTATGACCTCTGAAACGTTGGTTAACATCGACCAGACTACACAGCGCAACAACCCAGAAGACGGATATCTTCATACTCGCCGCTGTGAGAACCTCAAGTCTTACATATTATGTTATACATAAAATAATTATAGTGATTGCTAAGTAACGCAACTGCATAATATGGGTTCTTCCTGTTACAAATAAAGAATTTTCTCATTCCATACTTCAGAACAGTTGACATAGTGCCAGAACCAAAAAGAACGTAATCAGCATCGTCACCACCACAAAAACCTCAAATCTCAATCCATCATGTTTTGTAGCAGCGAATAAAATGTGTGTATGGCTTAATGGGACAAGGCTAACAGGAAACAACCATGAAACATTTGAACATACTACTACACTTGAAAGACTAAGGAAACCCACAACAGTTTCAGGATGGTGGGCTGCGAGTGGCACCGCAAGTCACCATTCTGCTTGACGAAACTGACGATGTCCATTTGCTGATCCATCCACAGTATAAACCACAAATGTCAGAAACTTAAAGGTGAAAGCATGATTTTTGACCAAAATACGAGGCGCGTCCACAAAGTAAGTTTCCCACTCGTCCCACAGCTAGCAAACCTTATATTGCGCGAAGCGACTGTGCGTACGTGATAGAGCAATGACGTAGCATGGCGCATGCACTAACGGCACCTCCCGCGTTCTCACAGTAGCATCGTTGCAGCTGTTGAAGATGGAGGTTCTTATTCCAGCCCCCGCCGACTGTGAAGTGCGGTCAGTGATAACGCTAGGCCGCACACGGCTCAACGGACAGCGAGTCTCCTGCAGGAGTTCAGCTGGGAGGTGTTTAATCATCCACCCTACAGCCCGGACCTCGCTCCCAGTGATTTCCATCTTTTCCTACACCTCAAGAAATTCCTGTCCGGTCAGCGTCAGCGTCAGCGTTTTGAGAATGACAGAGAGGCGGAGATGGCTGTCACACAGTGGTTCCAATCCCAGGCGGCAGACGTCTACGACACAGGTATTCTGAGTTTCTTGCACTCACCCCAACAACAGCATAATCCACTGTGTAAAAGAATTCGTTGATTTTGTAGATGGCGAGAGGTCCAACACTAGGAGGATAAGAGTTAACTTCCCTTGTTGTATCCCATCCTTTCAAAAACAGGTGTGAGAATGCAATACGGTTGTCCCACGTGTAATTGACATGATTATACCGGCTATGGGCAAATAAGCATAACTGCAATAAAATTAGCATTTCAGTATTCCAGATTTCCTCGACCTTTTGGACGAATAAACTAAAAATCAATTACAATACCATCTTACCTGCACAGTGACTAGAATAATTTTTATAACTTGAACTATAAATTTGTATGGAAATCTACGTTTTGCCTGCCATTTTTCAATCGGGTTCATGAAGAAGAACCTCAGCTTTCTCCTCATTTTTTCCTCAGAGATGTCAATATCTGATAACCTGCAACTACAATCTGAAGATAACGATCCAGATGTTTCAGCACTATGATTCATAATCAAAACTTCAAGATCTGAAACAGTAAAAGAATCACTGTATAATATATGCAGCTTGTTGGGGGTTGAGTTAACGGTAAATAAATGTTCTCCACCCCCCCATCCCCAAAAAATTCTTCTAGGAACAAATCACAGATAATGCATATAAATGTAAGACTTGAGGTTCTCACAGCGGTGAGTATGAAGATATCCATCTTCTGGGTTATTGCGCTGTGTAGTCTGGTCGATGTTAACCAACGTTTCAGAGGTCATACTGCCTCC